CAATTCCCTGTGCGCTCACGCACTATTATCATACACATTCTAGCAGCAGCCAAGACTAACATTATGAGGCTATGGCGTTCTACATCACCTCCTCTACTAGCCCGTCTCATTGCTGACCTCAACTTGCAATGTGAGATGGAGAAAAGAGCGGCCTTTCGAAACTCTTCTTACCACAAATTCACATTACACTGGTCTCGATGGCTATCACATCCCAATTGCTCAATCACATGATTACGAACCTTATCCCTAGGACATGCTGAATTTGCAGAACATTGGTGCCCCTTCTTCTTCCCTTCTTTCCCCTTCCACTCTTTTCTATACCCGTTTTCACCCTCTGTTTAATTCCCTCACGGTTTTCTACTTCTTATGATGGTTCACGATCTAATGAACATACCTCTCTTATAAGTATGAATATGTTAAACGAACTCCCAGCCGGCTGGTGGGGGTTTAGTACCTCATTCTCATTTCATTGTCTGTTATTTCGTTTATGTGAACCTTACATTTGATTATATCTAGATATTAACGTGTTTGTTTAAGACTTTAAAAATTTTCAATAAAAACTATTTGAAAATAAATGGTTAGCTCTTAAACCTGGCACTACTAGGGTCATTGGTTCAAATCCCAGCCACAGCACCACCTGCCTGGAATTTGCATGTTCTCCCTGTGCCTGCATGGGTTTCCTCCGGGTACTCAAGTTTCCTCCCACACTCCAAAGACATGCTGGTAGGTTAATTGTCTCCTGTCTAAATTGGCCCCAGTATGTGTATGTATGAATGTGAGTTAGGGACCTTAGATTGTACACCCCTTGAGGGTTAGGGACTGATGTGAATGTACAATATATGTATGTAAAGCACTGCAGAAATTGCTGGCGTTATAACTGAAATAAATAAATAATAATATATGGTATAAATAAATGTTTTTTTCTTTTCTTTATTATGGACTGAAAAAAAAAAAAAATACTGCTGAAATCCGTTTTTTTTAAATTTTATTTAACCTCCCTGGCGGTATTCCCGAGTGTAGCTCGGGGTAAAGTTTCAGCACCACAAGCGGTAACCCCGAGCTACACTCGGGAATACACTGCAGCATTGCTCCGGGATCCCTCGATCACTTACCTTGTCCTGCGCTCCCGTGATGTCCCCCCTGCACTGTCCCCGGCAACGTCCTCCGGCCCATGCTGGCATCGGGTTCCGTCCCCTGCGAGCGTCGGGACGTACGGGGGACGGGACTGGCAGGAAATTAAAAAATGTGAAAAAGTGACATTCACTAAATACACTAAAATCACATAGTATAACATTCCTGTATCAAACCATTTCACATACATTTTGTCCCGAGTGCTTTGTCCGGCGCCCTGCCTGCATTTTTACTGTTCTTTCTGCCTGGAAACTGAGAAACGTCCATGGCGTCCAAAAAGCGTCCCTTTAGGTCAAAAGCGGTTTTAGATCAGCTAGAGAACAGCGATAGTAAATCAGAACCACTTGCAGAATTGAGTGATAATGATTCGTGGGGGAAATTCCTCATCAGACACTGAAAACGATTCTACGACTTTGCTCAGCGATGTGCGAACTTGGCGCTATATTTAAAATTTCAGTGTTTTTGGTTTGATTATATTATTGAATTAAATTTATTATTATATTATTATTTTCTATGATTATTTATTAAATTATAATTTATGATTTCTTGTTTCAAATTTTATCCTACCCGGGATGTTTACTAGACTCTTGTTCGGACAGATTTCAGTGAGTTATTCCTAAAAATTACAGGCCTACAATGAAAAAAAATACATATTTCCATGCAAAAAAATGTACCGCTTTGAGCACAGAAATACTGACATAATCAGACCGCTAGGGAGGCTACTAAGGTCAATAAAAAAAAAAAAGTTTTAACTATAAAATGTTATTTTTTTTAGTCTTGACCATAATAAAGAAAAAAAAAAAAAGTCTGGATTTCTCCCATATTTTTTTGTCCTGGTCATAATAAAGAAATTAAGCAAACTGGATTTTAATATAATGTTTAGTCGGGACAAAAAAAAAAAAGTTATAAATATATATATATATTTCATATTAATAAGTCGCACCCAATGATCGCCAGTGCAACCGTTCTAATTAGTGCGACTCCGGCTTTGTTGGAGTTGCACCTTTTTGAAAATTAGTTCCTGCGCTACTTTTTGCTGATTTCAGGTGTGACTTGCATAGACATCAAGAGAAATAAAGGTCTGCTGAAAATGCCGGTCGCCTGGCTGTCGCTGCCTTTCATACCTTGTAACACCAACCTGGAGGAAGCATAGAGATCAGAGGAGTCAGTGGCTTCCAAAATCATAAAGATTCCCCTTGACAGCCAGGAAACTGGCATTTTCCAGGTGGTGAGGTCAGCATACTTATAAAGCAGTCAATCTGACATTCAACAAACATTCACTGCAGGCGAATCTTCCAGGTTCAAATGTTTTAAATAACAGTGATCAATTCACTTCTAGTGAATGTCTGGTGAAAGTCACATTCACTGCTTTATAAATGTGTTCCTTCCATCCAGTGCCCCTCACCCCCTTTCCTCCCCCCCCCCCCCATCACACAGCCAGCGTTCACCTCTGTCTCCAGTGTCCCTGCTCCATTCACTGCACATGGCTGCGTCCCAAGCCTCCATATGAAATGCCCAGCCCACCTTTTTACCCAATCGGTACCCTCCCCTGTAATGTGTACAGCCGATTGGCTACTATTCATACCGTACTTCCCAAGCCGGATGTGAAGACGTTTCCCCAGCCAGCCAATCCAAGCTAAGAACAGTCCAAACACTAGAGAACCGAGGTGCCTCTTATTTTATGTCTCCACACTGCGGCCATTTGTCTTAAGCCCAAATTCCATTACTTTTAATGGTTTCGGGGCTACGAGGCTCTGCCCAGATCATCAGCACTCGGGGCAAGAAATGAGGACACCCGTGTGTATGTCTTTTGTGCTCTCTTCTTCCTCCAGTGGTGGATGGTGTGGTTGGTGGGAGAGGAAGGGATGAAGTGACAGTGTGGATCAGGTTAGTACTGTGGAGGATAGAACTCTGACAGGGAACAGTGGGCAGCTGGCCATGAGTGGCCCACATGTACTCCTCTCTCTGGTATGTGGCTGCCATTGATTTCTGGGACTGAGGGTCAGATCTATTAGAATGTCTGAACTCCAGACAGGCAGCTGAATACATATAATGGAGCTGATTTTTTTCAACCAGGAGTTGTAATTCTGTCCATCCAGTCCTAAGAATTACACAGCTCTGCCACACAGCTCAACCCTATCTGGGAGGGCAGGAGACCTGATCTTTATTCTCAATAACATTTACAGGTCTTACCCCCACCCCAAGCCTGTGCCTGGACAGTGAAAGGAGAAGCAGTAAAATGATGAGGTCATCTCTCTGCTCTCTCCTCCTATCAGCCTGCTCCTTGCACTGCCGCGCACCTGTTTAGCTCTAGGTATGAGCACGGGTTTGGTTCAATCATAACCTGGAATCAAGCTGAGAATCCCGCCAGTCAGGGAATTGGACCACTACAGCTTAGTTACTCTGTGATTGAGATATGGGCAGCACAGTGGCTGAATGGTTAGCACTTCCACCTGGCAGTACTCGGGTCATTGGTTCGAATCCCAACCACAGCACCACCTGCCTGGAGTTTGCATGTTCTGCCTGTGTCTGCATGGGTTTCCTCCTGGTACTCCGGTTTCCTCCCACACACCAAAGACATGCTGGTAGGTTAATTGGCTCCTGTCTAAATTGTCCCTAGTATGTGTATGTATGAATGTGAGTTAGGGACCTTAGATTGTACACCCCTTGAGGGTTAGGGACTGATGTGAATGTACAATATATATGTAAAGTGCTGCGTAAATTGACGGCGCTATATAAGTACCTGAAATAAATATCTTCTTCCATCTTCCCCTCCTGTTTAGTGCTAGTTAGTTCAGTCCTAGGTAGACCCTCCCCATTTCTTTCACGTTCCCTCAGTTTAAGGCCGTTTTCACACGAGCGGACAGATCAGACCATCTGTTGTCCTCTATGGATGTAAACAAACGTGATCCGCTAAAAAGAGAAGGATGGGGGAATCCGTTCTCCATCCATCTAGCGAATGGGAAGACAGTTGGATGTAAACGTACAGGTGGTCCTTTTACATCCGAACACCAATACAGGAAAGCTGGCTGTGTTCATGTGCGCTCTGCACAAGCGTAGTGGACACAGACCTGTCATCCGCCTGCTCAGCGGGGATCAGTGGACAGATCCTGAGCAGGTGGATCTGCTGGCGGAGTCTGCCTGTGTGTAAGGGGCCTTAGTATTTTGCAGAGACAGGGCTCAGGAAAGTCATTGTCATTGGAAGACATCCTCTGTACTGCAAGTAGCTGCACCAGATTTCAGTAGGGGGCCCCATGAGATGCCCCTGGTACCTTTTTCATAGGTTTTTTTTTTTGAGTTTGGGCAAGGACACAGGGGCCCCATGATCCCCTATTGCCCGGGGCCCCATGAGTTGTCAGTCCGCCCCTGGTGCCAGCGCTTACCGGGTGCTTTTTTTTTCTTCGTTGGATTCCATTTTTGATAAGTTACGCTCTATGGGGATGATTTACTAAAATTGCAAAATCTGGTGGTTTTGGATTCAACTTCTGTGTCTTATTGAAGAGTTAAGCTGCCTGTGGATAGTGCCAAGTCAGCAGGTGACCATACTGTCCAGACAGACTGGGTCTAAGGAGGTATGTCATTAGAAAGAGAACACATGATTGGTGACTAGCGCTGGATGGGGCTCAGAGCTCTGATTGGTATGGATAGGTAAGTATATATTAGGGAGAGAGATCATCTAGGTTGGGTAGATTTGAGTACATGATTGCTTTAACTGAATTCAGCCATAATGTGTCCTTGACTTCCACAGTGCCATGCAAGGACTGAACGCGTCATGTGAACATACTGCCCACCTGTACCTCTACTGAAGGTATCTTGGACTGTGGAGTCCATGCAATCAGGACAATCAACAGACTGCATACCAATCAACCATGAGCTTCCTCATTGACTCCATCCTGATGGTCATATCTCAGGTGAGGAACTGGAATAGGATATTTGGAGGTGTTTCTGTAGTCCTCTCCTAAGGTGACAACGCTGCTCCTCTTTAGATACAGTACAGTAAGAGTTGTCACCCTCGGACAGGAAGTGTGTTATTGGTAGGATCATCAGAGGATGTTAAAGGGGAAAAAAAGAAAACTAATGCAGCCACCATCTAAGGACTGGCAAGCTGCAGTATATTATATTTTGTTTTTTGTGTTTAAAACGGAGTTTCAGTCAGTTTTCTGTTTATTAATCACTTCCCGTCTGACCCATGTATATAAACGGCCAGACGGGGGCAGTGCAGAGGCGGGTGGCCGTTTATAAACGTCCTCCCCGCTTCCCGGCCTGTGTGCGCTCTGTGGAAGTGCGCAGCACCGTGATCCGGTGCCCACTGTGTCCAAAGGAACACCGATCGCTGTACAGGACCTCTGTGGCCGTTCATAAATTGCGCCCGTATTCACAGCCTGTGCGCACTCCCAGGTAGCGCGCGGCACTGCAATCTGATGCCCGCTGTGTCCTTCAGACACTGATCGCTGTACGGGACCTCTGTGTGAGGTCCCGATCATGTGATCACTGATTGGCCAATCAGTGATCACACACAGAGTAGTAAGCAAGATGTCACTTCTGACATCATTGCTTACTATGTGTGAAATCTGTGAATGATCACAGAGGTCACATGGTACAAGGCTATTCACAACAGCCTTGTACCATGTGACAAGCTGTGACCAATCACAGCTCTCACAGTATTTCTCAATGACTGCAAGAATGCAGCCAGAGAGAAGGAGAAATGATTGCTTTTACAGCCTTTATGAGTGTAAAAGCAATCAGTGTAAAAAAAAAAAAAAAAATCTTCTTCACCCCCCACAAGTAGTACAGTGTCACCATGGTGACACTGTACTGCTAGGGTGACAGTATGTTAAAAAACATAAATAATAATAAAATAAAATAAAAATTTAATTTTTTTTTTTTTTTTAAAAATTATAATTTTTGGTTATAAACTAACTTTTTATTAGCACTGATCACTGTATTGGTGTTACTGGGGATGTCAGTGACACCAAGTCAGTTCCCCCTCCAGTGTCAGAATGCCCGTGGCAGTCCTGCCTACAAGTCGCTGAATTGCGAGTAAAAAAAAAAAAAATCCAGTATCTATGTCGCCATTTGTAGACGCTATAACTTTCACATAAACCAATTAATTTACACGTATTGGGATTTTTTTCAGCAAAGACATGGAGCAAAATACATTTTGGCCTAAATTTCTGACAAAATTTTATTTTTGAAAATTCTTCTACTGGACATGTTTAAAGCAAAAAATCAAAAATATTGTTTTTTTTTTAAATTGTCAGTTTTTTTTTTTTGTTTATAGCGCAAAAAATTAAAACCGCAGAGGTGATCAAATACCACCAAAAGAAAACTCTATTTGTGGGAAAAAAAGAAGGTAAATTTCATTTGGGCACAGCGTTGCATGACTGCGCAATTGTCAGTTAAAATAACGCAGCGCCGTAACGAAAAAAATGGCCTGGTCAGGAAGGGGTGGAAATCCTCTGGAGGGCAAGTGGTTAATGAATAAAAATTTACATGAATAAAAAAAGACAAAAACACAATATTTCCCAATTTTTTTTGTACAATTTGAAAGATGATGTTACACCGAGTAAATCGATACCCAACATGTCATGCTTTAAAATTGCGCACGCTCGTGGAATGGTGCCAAACTACGGTACTTAAAAATCTCCATGGGTGACGCTTTAAAAATTTCTACAGGTCACAATTTTTGGTGCCTATTTAGATATCGGCCTAAGGCTGATAGAAGTATTTTTGCCTGAAACGTTTCGGTGCATTCCTACTAATTAATACATTTGGACACTTTTATCCTTTGGCCTGCTGCTCCTTCTATTAGTGTGCGCTTTTTTCTGGTAGCCTGCTGGGTACCCACTGGAGGGTAGCCTTGTCTGTTGTGCGCAGCCTATCAGGAGCCAGTTAGCTCTATTATTTTTTTTTTTCAGCTCTCACCACTTGTTATGCATTTACATCAAAGTCCCAGCTAGGGGCGGACTGACATTGTGGAAACTCTGGCACTGCCCGAGGGCCAGGGGTCAGTAGGGGGCCCCATGAGATGCCCCTGGTACCTTTTTCATAGGCTTTTTTTAGTTTGGGCAAGGACACAGGGACCCCATGATCCCCTATTGCCCGGGGGCCCCATGAGTTGTCAGTCCGCCCCTGGTCTCAGCGCCTCCTGGGTGCTTTTTTTTTTTTTTTCTTCATTGGATTCCATTTTTGATAAGTTACACTCTATGGGGATGATTTACTAAAATTGCAAAATCTAGTGCAGCTCTGCAGAGAAACCAATCAGCTTCCAGGTTTTATTGTCAAAGCGTAACTGAACAAGCTGAAGTTAGAAGCTGATTGGCCAATCAGTGATCACATGATCGGACCTCACACAGAGGTCCCGTATGACGATCGGTGTTCCACTGTGTCCAGAGGACACAGCGGGCACTGGATCACGGTGCTGCGCGCTCCCAGGGAGCGCGCACAGTCCAAAATGGCGGGCACCGTTTTTGAATAGCAACCCGCCCCTGCACTGCCACTGGCCAATCAGTGATCACATGCAGAGTTGTAAGCAAGATGTCACTGCTGACATCATTGCTTACTACGTGTGAAATCTGTGAATGATCACAGAGGTCACATGGTACAAGGCTATTCACAACAGCCTTGTACCGTGTGACAAGCTGTGACCAATCACAGCTCACTCAGTAGTTCTCAATGGCTGCAAGAATGCAGTCAGAGAGAAGGAGAAATGATTGCTTTTACAACCTTTATTTTAATTTTTGGTTATAAAATTTGTTTTTTTTTTTCACTAACAAGATAACTGAATAAAATTTGGCCAAGATTTATGATGAAATATTATTTATTTGCAAAATTTTATAAGAAAAACACTTTTTTTTCAAAATTTTTGGACATTTTCATTTATATAGCAAAAAAAATAAAAATCCCAGCAGTGAATAAATACCACCAAAATAAAGCTTTATCTGTCTCAAAAAAAATGCTAAAAAATTCATATGGGTACAGTGTTGCATGATCGCGCAATTGTCATTCAAAGTGTGATAGTACTGAAAGCTGAAAATTGGCCTGGGGGGCAAGGAGGGGGGGGGGGGGGGGGTAAAAGTGTCCGGACTTGAAGTGGTTAAAATCGTGTGATTTGTGTGCAATTCCAGCGCGATTTCTGAAGACTTTATTGCTGCTTGTGAAGATTTTAAATTTGCAGTGTGATTTCCATTATATTCTATGTATGTGAAATCGCAACAAAACTGCAGAAAAAGTCATGCAGAACTACTTTAGAAAATGCCCTGCAGCAAATCGCACATGTTAAGACACTGACATTCACATTCATTAGATGCGACTTCAATTCACAAATCACACCGGTATGACCGGGCACTGAATGAGTGATGACATCAGAGTGCAGTTGTTCTTCCTTATGCTGCTTGATGTAAAGAATACACTCTGTAGCTTTCATGTTTCTCCCAATACCTTACAGCACCATGTTTCTCCTTTTTGTGTCCCCACAGCTGCTGTTCTTTGGCTTTGGTTGGCTGTTTTTCATGCGGCAGCTCTTCAAAGATTATGAGGTGAGTTCCTCCACAGAGAATTGTGGAAGGGTCCTTGAAGAGGGTGAACTGGGGCCAATACTAGTCTACAGTGTCTTTATCCTTCTCAATTGGCCAGACAGGGATGATATATATGGTTTGTAAAATCGTTTCACAATTACATGGGATCAGCCATTTTTATTCATTCCATATGCAGGATCTGCTTCCTCCTCCATTCTTTTAACACCTATGAAGGATTTTTCAAACTCCATGGAAGAGGAGGATTTTCATAGCAGATTTTTCTTAGCTCAGCTACAGACTTCTCTTCTCTGGAGGATTCCTAGACGATCCTCTTTTTTTGTAGAGTACCGGGTCACCATATCAGAATCAAAATCACACACACTGGTGTAAGAAGGTAGTAAACGCTCATCTATTCACGGCACCAAACACTGATCTGAAGCTGTAAAATCTCCCCCAAGGTCTGCCAGGAGACCGACTCTTCTGGGAGTGTTAATCTCCTGGGCTGGCCCTCGTGGAAGTATTGGTTTCCTAGTAGATAGGGAGGGGGTGGGGGTCCCATGGAACCCAGCTCACTTTGGAGAGGTGGGGAGACCCCTGTCTCAGCTCCCCATATCCCTATTATGTGTAAGTCACCCTGTGTCTGTTAGGGGTACAGGGTGATCTGTCCTAATATTGTGTAGACCTGTATAGGTGGGGTGGGGGTTGTAGATTGTTTAATGACATGTGGTTGCATCCCATTGTTCTATTGTGTGTCTTGCTTGGGAGCAAACTATTATGGGATGTATGTGTTTATGTGTATTGGCTTGATGGGGGTGTCTCCAGCAGCCCTCCCTCCTGATGGGACTGTCTGTTGGTGAGTTTCTTGTTACTAAATGTAGATTGCCCCACCCTGTGACATTATGCAGGGAGGGGGGATTGTTCCCTTGAGTATATATATCTTGTATCTGTGTTAAAATAAACTAGTCTACTTTCTGGATTACTTCAAGATTGGTGTCGTCTAGTCTTGTATGGTCTGCTGTGGTGTCTGTTGTCGGTGTTCGGACAGGGAAGTGGTAGTCTAACGGAAGTACCCAAGCACAGACTGTGTCGGTTCCGTTACAGGGGGGATTGTTGGAGCAATGTTCAAGGGCCTGGGCTCTTCTTTTGCTGTGCTTTTTTTGTATGTAGTAAATGGACAAGGTTGCTTCAGAGATGCCACATAAATTCCTATCTAGCTATACACGTATCAGTATGTGGGCTTATCTGATAGGATGGATGGATGTTGGTAAATCTAAAGGTAGCACAGATTGGGTTTGTGTTGTGTGTGACCAGCTGAGGCATCTTACGGTCCTGTGCTGCCTTGCCATGACGGTGACCGATTGATTTCTGTTCTGTCTTCAGGTGCGGCAGTATGTCGTTCAAGTCGTCTTCTCTGTGACTTTTGCTTTTTCCTGCACTATGTTTGAACTGATTATTTTTGAGATCCTGGGACTGTTAAATAGCAGGTGAGTAAAACTCATCAGCCTACAAAGAAGCCTTGACTTCTAGTAGTCTGTTAGAGATTTCTTTTTATGTTTTTTTTATGTATGGCTCCTGCAATCTTATATGTAACCGATTCATTTGTAATTATGGGTTTAGTAAAGTTCACTGCTGACAGGGCTTCCATCTTCTCCCAGTGTTCCTTCCGGGTTCGCAGGCTCTTGTTACCTGATTGGCCAAGCCGCGATGACATCACTCCCATGCGTGCGTGAGTCTTGGCCGCGGCACAGAGCTCTGAGGGAATGGTACGGGTATGCCGTTCCTTCAAAGCGCATGCGCCTGTGACGTCATCTGCTGTAGGGGCAATGAATATCTCCTAAATGGTGCATATTTAGGATTTATTCCTTGTACCTACAGGTAAGCTTTATTATAAAGTGTCCAGTGGGAGTTTACTTCCATTTTAAGGTGTGTATATTGAATTTTTTTTAAATATAGAGGGGGGGGGGGGGGGGCGTTGGAGCTGGCCTTTACTGCTTCAGGAAACTGAAATCCAATTGATGGCTGTGCATTTTTCATACTATTATTGATTATTATTTTTATTATTATTCTTATTGTACAGGATTTATATAGCGCCAACAGTTTGCTCAGCGCTTTACAATATAACGGGAGAAAATACAGCAACAATACAGTTCAATACAAGAGGGTTAGGAGGGCCCTGATCCTGGGAGCTTACAATCTAAGAGGGAGGGGCTGGTGGTACAAAAGGTAATAACTGTGGGGGATGAACTGGTAGGAGGAATAGAAGATTCCATTATTAGCTGAGGGAAGGATAGGCTTCCCTGAAGAGATAGGTTTGGATGGGGGAAGCTCTGGAGAAGTCCTGGAGATGAGGAGAAGACAAGGGAGCTAGTTTTGCAGGAGGTCATAGGAGCAGCGGAGAGTAGTACGGGTTGGGTGATATTTGGAGACAAGATTGGTGATGTAATTTGGGGCAGAGTGATAACTGGCTTTATATGTTATTGTTAATGTTTTGACTTTTATTCGTTGGGCAATGGGAAGCCAGTTGAGGGATTGGCAGAGAGGGATGGCAGATATGAAACAGTTAGTAAGGTGGATGAGTCTGGCAGCAGCATTCATGATAGACTGAAGAGGGGATAACCTGTGATGAGGTAGGCCAATGAGGAGGGAGTTACAATAGTCAAGGCGAGATATAACAAGGGAGTGAATAAGTTGCTTAGTAGTTTTCGAGGTTAGGAATGGGTGTATCTTGGAGATGTTGCGGAGGTGAAGTCTACAAGATTTGGACAATGATTCAATTTGGGGCTGAAAGGACAGATGGGAGTCTAGGAATACACCTAGTACCCTGGCATGAGGGGAGGGACTGCTGGTTGTGTTATTGATCTTGATGGAGAAATCAGGGGAGGGGGCACGGGCTGGGGGGAATAGTAAGAGCTCAGTTTTGGAAAGATTGAGTTTGAGGAAGTGGAGTGACATCCATGCCGAATATGTCGCTTAGTAGGTTAGTAATGCAAGAGGAGACTGAAGGGTGAGGTGAGGGTAGAAAGATAGATTTGTGTGTTATCAGCATAGAGATGGTACTGAAAGCCATGGGAGTTTATCAAGTGACCAAGGGAGGAGGTGTAGATGGAGAAGAGTAGGGGTCCAAGGACAGAACCTTGAGGTACCCCTACAGAAAGAGGAAATGGAGAGGAGGAGGCAGAGTTATAGGTCACCGCTGAAGGAGCTCTGTGATAGATAGGAGAACCAGGAGAGAGCAGAGTCTCGGATTATCGAAGGCCAAGAGAGTGGAGTTTTTTGAGGAGGAGGGGATGGTCAACAGTATCAAAAGCCGCAGAGAGGTCAAGTAGTAAGAGTATGGAGTAGTGGCCATTGGTTTTAGCAGTTAGTAGATCATTAGTGAGTTTTAGTAGGGCAGTTTCAGTGGAGTGTAGTGAGCGAAAGCCAGACTGTAAAGGGTCAAGAAGGTTGTTGTCAGTGAGGTAGGAGATCGTAGACTAAGCGTTCTAAGAGTTTCAAGGTAAACGAGAGCAGGGAGATGGGTCTTAAGGTGTTCAGGTTGGTGGGGTCCAGGAAGGGCTTTTTAAGTATGGGAGTGATGTGTGCATGCTTTAGAGGGGTGGGGGAAGGCACCATTAGAGAGGTTGAAGATGTGAGTGAGGGAGCATAGGATGGAAGAAGAGGGTGACCGTAGTAGTTGTGAGGGGACAGGATCCAGGGGGGCAGGAAGTGAGATGGGCTACTGAGAAAACCTTAGTGACCTCTTCGGTAGTAGCAAGGTCAAAAGAGGAAAGTGTTGAGGGAGGTTAGGTATAAGGTATGCTAAGTGGGATAGATGTCTGTGCAGTGTGGAGAAGCTCCTACGAATTGCATCAATATTATTTTTGAAATGATTTGCAATCTCGTGAGCAGTGAGTGAGGTACTGCGTGGAGGTGAAGGTGGAGAAAGTAGAGAGTTAAAGTAGAGAAGAGACGTTGAGGACTGGATGACAAGCTATTGATGAGAGTGACAAAGTAGGCTTGTTTGGCAGCATGGAGGGAGGAATTGTATGTTAAGAAAGCAGATTTTTATAGGGTGAAGTTTTCTGAGATTTGGTTTTACGCCACAATCGCTACAGCGCATGACTATGTCGCTTAAGATTTCTGGTGTCATCAGTCTGCCACAGTTGTAATGGTCAGGGCCTGATACTTCGTGTAGTTAGAGGAGCAAGTGAATCTAATGTGGATGAAAGTGAACTTTTGTAGACAGCAGTGGCCAAGTCAGGGCAGGAAAGGGGAGAGATTCTGTCATAGAGGCGGCCAGTTGCAGAATGGAAAGGAGCAGGGTTCAAGTTGTGAAGGTTTCTGTGGGTAATTGTTTGCTGCTTGGAGGAGATAAGCGTTTGAAGACGAGGACACTGTGAAGATGATGAGATTGTGATCAGACAGAGGAAAGGGGTGTTTGTGAGGTTGTAGGGAGTGCAACGATGGGAGAAAACAAGGTCTAATGTATTCCCATCAGAGTGAGTGGAGGACTGTGTCCATTAAGTTAAGGCAAAAGATGAGGTTATGTTGAAGAGTTGGATGTAGCCGGGTTTTTCACATTAATGGGGATGTTTAAAATCTCCAAGAATGATAGTGGGTTAGTTCAGAGGAGAGAAAGTAGGGTAGCCAGGCAGAGAAGTCATCAAGAAAACGGGACACCAGTACAGGTGGAGGCCGATAGATCACCGCAATCCTCAGAGAAATGAGAGAAAACAGCTGAATGCAGTAAGTCTCGAAAGAAGAGAAGGATAGAGAGAGTGAGGGTTATGGAGGACATAAAAGGTGCTCCGTGGGGATAGAAGAAAACCAACTACACCTCCTCTCCGACCACTAGGTCTGGGTGAGTGGGTCCAGAGGAGGCCTCCATAGGAAAGTGCTGCGGGAGAAGAAGAATCTGCTGCTTGGAGCCAGGTTTCTGTAATTGCTAGTAGGTTAAGGGAGCGGGAGACAAAAAAGTCATGGACAGAGGTGAGCTTATTACAGACAGAGCGGGCATTCCAGAGCGCACATGAAATGGGAGGGTGGTTTTTAGGAGCACGGGACTGATATTAAATTGAGCGATTACGGCTATTCCTGGAGGAAAGAAGGTGCCTGGTGTGGGGGTGAGGAAAGTAAGGTGGGAATGGGATGTATATGAGTGCACATGCCTTGCAGTCCTGGTGTTTAGGGTCAGCAGGAGAGTGAAGTATCAGCAGGAGGTGATGGGAGCAGTAGTAGGGAGATGGTAACAGTGAGGGTGAGATGTATAAGCTTTGGGGTGGAGCAGAGGGGTAAAGAAAGGAGATATTTTTGGGAAAACAGGATAGTAATATGAAAAGGAGGAGTAGAGGCGGCATATTAAAAGGTAGATGGAGTAGGACTCCTCAGACTTGTAGAAGATGTTTCCCAGGGTGTTTGCTTGCAGTCCATCCAGAGTGCAGTAGAGTTCTTTGTTGTATCTTCCTGCTGCTTAAGTTATCCTGCTTAAGTTAAACTGCTGTGTTCAACTGCATCTTCACACTCCAGCATCAAACACACTGCTGTGTTCAAACTGCATCTTCACACTCCAGCATCAAACACACAGCTGTGTTCAAACTGCATCTTCACACTCCAGCATCAAACACACAGCTGTGTTCAACTGCATCCTCACACTCCAGCATCAAACACACTGCTGTGTTCAACTGCATCTTCACACTCCAGCATCAAAACACACAGCTGTGTTCAACTGCATCTTCACACTCCAGCATCAAACACACTGCTGTGTTCAACTGCATCTTCACACTCCAGCGTCAAACACACAGCTCTGTTCAACTGCATCTTCACACTCCAGCATCAAAACACACTGCTGTGTTCAACTGCATCTTCACACTCCAGCATCAAACACACAGCTGTGTTCAACTGCATCTTCACACTCCAGCATCAAACACACAGCTGTGTTCAACTGCATCTTCACACTCCAGCATCAAACACACAGCTGTGTTCAACTGCATCTTCACACTCCAGCATCAAAACACAGCTGTGTTCAACTGCATCTTCACACTCCAGCATCAAACACACAGCTGTGTTCAACTGCATCTTCACACTCCAGCATCAAACACACAGCTGTGTTCAACTGCATCTTCACACTCCAGCATCAAACACACAGCTGTGTTCAACTGCATCTTCACACTCCAGCATCAACACACACAGCTGTGTTCAACTGCATCTTCACACTCCAGCATCAAACACACAGCTGTGTTCAACTGCTGCTTCACACTCCAGCATCAAACACACAGCTGTGTTCAACTGCATCTTCACACTCCAGCATCAAACACACTCATGCAGAAAACTGCACCCCCATCTGTGTCCCGGTCTGTGACCTCCCCCATGAGCTGGTCTAAATTTATAGGGAGATGGGCAAATGAGCAACTCTTCTCTGCCCCAATTAGGAACTGATAAGGATCACATGAGTTGGGGGCAGATGATGCTCAAAGACAGACCAGCCACAGACACAGGCCAAAGTCATAAAAGAAATGCAAGAGGAGGTGAGAATCAATCACCACAAACAGACCAAGAGATATACACTCATTGTTCTGAGTTTTGCAAAAAAGTCTATGCGTTGCAGAAATACCAGTTTAAGGTGGAGATGAGACAGCAGATGAGAGCAGCATTTACCTGTGAAAAAGCAGAGAAGACATGATCAGGGGGCTGTGTTCGACATTGATCTTAGACTTGCATTATTTATTCGCTTATTACTTAGTTTGTAGCAGGGAGAGGATGTCTAGGGATCTGAGTCTTTTTATCAACTTATTATGTATTAATGATTGTGTTCCAGCTCCAGATACTTCCACTGGAAACTCAATCTCTGTGTGATCCTATTGGTCCTGGTCTTTGTGGTCCCATTTTACATTGGCTACTTTGTGGTGAGCAATATTCGACTGTGTGAGTACAAAGCTACCAAATAACCTAAATATATAGATATAGAGATTACATAAATGATGACCAAATGATAAGAGTGTTCTTTCCTATAGCCTCCTGTACGACATACCTAACCCTTGTGTCTGATAACTGCTAGAAATGTATACCGTATTTTTCGCTTCATAAGACGCACCTAGGTTTTAGAGGCAGAAAACAGGAAAAAAAAATTCTGAACTAATGGACTGCAGACACAGTACAGGAGATGACCAGAGACTGCGGACGTGACAGCACAGGGATGACCAGAGACTGCGGACAGCACAGGGATGACCAGAGACTGCGGACACAGTACAGGAGATGACCGGAGACTGCGTACACAGTACAGGAGATGACCGAAGTCTGCGGACATAGTACAGGAGATGACCAGAGACTGCGGACACAGTACAGGGGATGACCGGAGACTGCGGACACAGTACAGGAGATGACCGGAGACTGCGGACACAGTACAGGAGATGACCCGAAGTCTGCGGACACAGTACAGGAGAAGACCAGAGACTGCGGACACAGTACAGGAGATGACCAGAGACTGCGGACACAGTACAGGAGATGACCGGAGACTGCGGACACAGTACAGGAGATGACCGGAGACTGCGGACACAGTACAGGAGATGACCAGAGACTGCGGACACAGTACAGGAGATGACCAGAGACTGCGGACACAGTACAGGAGATGACCGAAGTCTGCGGACACAGTACAGGAGATGACCGAGTCTGCGGACACAGTACAGGAGATGACCAGAGACTGCGGACACAGTACAGGAGATGACCAGAGACTGCGGACACAGTACAGGAGATGACCAGAGACTGCGGACACAGTACAGGAGATGACCAGAGACTGCGGACACAGTACAGGAGATGACCAGAGACTGCGACACAGCACAGGAGATGACCAGAGACTGCGGACAGCACAGGAGATGACCAGAGACTGCGGACAGCACAGGAGATGACCAGAGACTGCGGACAGCACAGGAGATGACCAGAGACTGCGGACAGCACAGGAGATGACCAGAGACTGCGGACACAGTACAGGAGATGACCAGAGACTGCGGACACAGTACAGGAGATGACCGGGAGACTGCGGACACAGTACAGGAGATGACCAGAGACTGCGGACACAGTACAGGAGATGACCGGAGACTGCGGACACAGTACAGGAGATGACCGAAGTCTGCGGACACAGTACAGGAGATGACCGGAGACTGCGGACACAGTACAGGAGATGACCGAGTCTGCGGACACAGTACAGGAGATGACCAGAGACTGCGGACACAGTACAGGAGATGACCAGAGACTGCGGACACAGTACAGGAGATGACCAGAGACTGCGGACACAGTACAGGAGATGACCAGAGACTGCAAGACACAGTACAGGAGATGACCAGAGACTGCGGACAGCACAGGAGATGACCAGAGACTGCGGACAGCACAGGAGATGACCAGAGACTGCGGACAGCACAGGAGATGACCAGAGACTGCGGACAGCACAGGAGATGACCAGAGACTGCGGACACAGTACAGGAGATGACCAGAGACTGCGGACACAGTACAGGAGATGACCAGAGACTGCGGACAGCACAGGAGATGACCAGAGACTGCGGACAGCACAGGAGATGACCAGAGACTGCGGACAGCACAGGAGATGACCAGAGACTGCGGACAGCACAGGAGATGACCAGAGACTGCGGACAGCACAGAGATGACCAGAGACTGCGGACAGCACAGGAGATGACCAGAGACTGCGGACAGCACAGGAGATGACCAGACTGCGGACAGCACATTAGATGACCAGAGACTGCGGACAGCACAGGAGATGACCAGAGACTGCGGACAGCACAGGAGATGACCAGAGACTGCGGACAGTACAGGAAATGACTGCTGACCTTTGGGGAGGGGGGGGAGCGGGTACCTGAATTTGACAGGTACCCGCTCTTACTTCCGCGGAGTTGTTCTTTGATCTTACCTGTTCCTCTATCCAGCGCCGCGCTGTCTACCCGGCTTTCTGTAGTGTGGGCGCTCGGTGGACAGCCGGATGCCCAGTGCGCATGAGCGAGAAGCGCTGCGCTTTGTGATTGGTCCGGCGGCTTCTGGGATCTGTCATGTGTCCCAGGTACCGCCTTACCATTCACAAAGAGCACACCGCTTCGTGCGCATGCGCACTTGGCACCCAGCTGTCACGCACACTACAGAAGCTGGGAAGACAGCGCGCCGCTGGATAGAAGAACAGGTAAGGTCCCACTGCATAGCTGAGCGGCCGGCCCGGTATTCTGACACGGCGGCGGTGGAAATACCGGACCGGCCGCTCCATAATTCGACCATAAGACGTACTGACATTTTCCCCCCTTTTTTTGTGGGAAAAAAGTGCGTCTTATGGTGCGAAAAATACGGTAACCTCATGCACAGTCTATTTGCCTTTAGTAAATCAACCCCTTTATTTGGTGCAAAGGGGAAAATAGAAACATAGGGGTGCATTTACTACAGGCAAAAAGGCTGAGCACTTTGCAATAGCAGTTGCTCCAGAGCTTAGTTAACCTCCTGGCGGTATTCCCGAGTGTAGTTCGGGGTAAAGTTTTAGTACCACAAGCAGTAACCCCGAGCTACACTCGGGAATAAGCGTGCTCCGGGATCTGTTCTTCTCTTACCTTGTCCTCGCTTCTCTCCCGCGATGTCCCCCCTGCAGTGTCCCCTGTAATGTCCTCCGGCGGATGCCGGCATCTGTCATCTGGGTTCCGTCCCCTGCGACGTCAGGACGTACGGGGACGGAATGACGGGAAATTTGAAAGTGACATTCACTAAATTCACTAAAATCACATAGTATAACATTCCTGTATCAAACCATTTCACATACATTTTGTCCCGAGTGCTTTGTCCGGCGCCCTGCCTGCATTTTTACCGTTCTTTCTGCCTGGAAACTGAGAAACGTCCATGGTGTCCCTTTAGGTCAAAAGCGGTTTTAGACCGGCTAGAGAACAGCGATAGTAAATCAGAACCACTTGCAGAATTGAGTGATAATGATTCGTGGAGGAAATTCGTCATCAGACACTGAAAACGATTCTGCGACTTTGCTCAGCGATGTGCGAACTTGGCGCTGTTTCAAATTTCAGTGTTTTTGGTTTGATTATATTATTGAATTAAATGTATTATTATTATATTATATTATTTTTTATGATAATTTTTTAAATTATAATTTATGATTTCGTGTTTCAAATTTTATCATATCCGGGATGTTTACTAGACTCTTGTTTCGGACAGATTTCAGTGAGTTATTCCTAAAAATGACAGGCCTACAATAAAAAAACAACATATTTCCATGTAAAAAAATGTACCGCTTTCAGCACAGAAAATACGGACATAATCAGACCGCTAGGGAGGTTAATGAGCGGAAGCTCTGCTGGCTTCCATCTTCCAATCGTGTGCCAGCAAAATTCAGTTTTTTTAATTTATTTTTTATTTTCCTTGCATGTGATTGGGTATTCTTTGCAAAGGGAAGCTTTACCTCCTTTACTAAGCTCTGGAGCAACTGCACTTTGCAAGGTGCACAGTTTATTTGCCTTTAGTAAATCAACCGCATAGAATGCAGTACGTATCCGAAGCCGGATCTACGCAGTTGTGCTGCAGTTATTTTCAGCAATCGACATTCTGGACATCAGTGCATTGTGGTGCCATTCATTCTAAACAGCACCACCTATATTGCAGCATATCACAGTTCTAATTCTGTGCATTATGATATATTGTGTACATTGCTGAAAGTAATGCATGCACCTTTTTTTGATGCATTAGGAAACCCATTGAGTGTTTTATTGAAATCTGTAGATTACTGCGAATTATAATATATAATATGACTTTCACATTGCCCACAATGGTCACTTAAAGTGTTACCAAGCCCACAACAGTACAATCAGTCTGTATATTATTATTATTATTATTATTATTATACAGTATTTATATAGCGCCAAAAGGTTTGCTCAGCACTTTACCATATAGTGGGGGACAGAACATGAGACAATACAGTAACAAAACATATAGTAAAGCATGCTTGTTATACTCATTGTGGAACCTAAGGGGTTAATCCTCAGCATTGTGTAAATAGGCTGTCTGATCCTGTCTTCTCTTATCCTTCTCTTCTTCTACTGCCCCAATCCATCTGCTGATAGTACAGAGCTCTAGGAGTAACTCTGCACATGATCAGTTTTGTGTGTATTGTTAGAGAGTTATTTTTTTTCTTTGGGTGGGTGCATGTGATCAGCACAGGCAATCAGCACTGTCCAGACAGAGGGTCAGGGGTTATACAGCTTCATAAGACAGTGAGAGCAGAATAAAAACTCCTCCTACAAGCTTTAACCAGTGCTCTGCTGGACACTGATAGAAGTCACAAGACTGCTCTAACTGCTGATGAGAAAAGGGTATTTAGTAGTTTATATTTACTAAAATAATTTAATTTCCATGTAGTGTGTACTGTGGGAGACCAGATCTAGTGAATGCAGGGTCCGGGGAGACCGGATATAGTGAATGCAGGGTCCGGGGAGACCGGATATAGTGAATGCAGGGTCGGGGGGAGACCGGATATAGTGAATGCAGGGTCTGGGGAGACCGGATATAGTGAATGCGGGGTCCGGGGAGACCGGATATAGTGAATGCAGGGTACGGGGAGACCAGATATAGTGAATGCAGGGTCCGGGGAGACCGGATATAGTGAATGCAGGGTCCGGGGAGACCGGATATAGTGAATGCAGGGTCTGGGGGAGACCAGATATAGTGAATGCAGGGTCCGTGGAGACCGGATATAGTGAATGCATGGTCCGTGGAGACCGGATATAGTGAATGCGGGGTCCGTGGAGACCGGATATAGTGAATGCAGGGTCCGGGGAGACCAGATATAGTGAATGCAGGGTCCGTGGAGACCGGATATAGTGAATGCAGGGTCTGGGGGAGACCGGATATAGTGAATGCAGGGTCCGTGGAGACCGGATATAGTGAATGCAGGGTCCGTGGAGACCGGATATAGTGAATGCGGGGTCCGTGGAGACCGGATATAGTGAATACGGGGTCCGGGGAGAGCGGATATAGTGACTGCAGGGTCCGGGGAGAGCGGATATAGTGACTGCAGGGTCCGGGGAGACCGGATATAGTGAATGCAGGGTCTGGGGAGACCAGATATAGTGACTGCAGGGTCTGGGGAGACCGGATATAGTGACTGCAGGGTCTGGGGAGACCGGATATAGTGAATGCAGGGTCTGGGGAGACCAGATATAGTGACTGCAGGGTCCGGGGAGACCGGATATAGTGACTGCAGGGTCCGGGGGAGACCGGATATAGTGAATGCAGGGTCCGGGGAGACCGGATATAGTGACTGCAGGGTCCGGGGAGAGGATATAGTGACTGCAGGGTCCGGAGAGACCAGATATAGTGACTGCAGGGTCCGGGGAGACCAGATATAGTGAATGCAGGGTCCGGGGAGACCAGATATAGTGAATGCAGGGTCCGGGAATGCAGGGTCCGGGGAGACCAGATATAGTGAATGCAGGGTCCGGGGAGACCAGATATAGTGAATGCGGGGTCTGGGGTTTAGGAACACTTTAAGGTAAATATTTGGTTAATTGGGATATTTAAAGAGCACCATTTAAGAATAGGCACAAGTTTGGGTATCTTTATTACAAATTTGTTTAATAGATTAGGGATAGGTGTGTACTGTGATATGTTCTCTCCCTGTCCACTTTGCCCTGTCAGAACAGAAATGTAAGCCCAGCGGCAGGCTTTAAATAAGCTCCACTCACTTCCACTTCAGCACGATTTTGTATTTCCATATGATTTGCACTGCCGATTTCATTGCGACTTCATATAACAGAAGTTAATGCAAGTCGCAGTGAAATTGGCAAAAAGTAGTGCAGAAACTTTTTTCATATTCGATGTGAAATGAGTGTTTCCGTTGACGGCAATAGGGTACAACTTTTCATGCGATTTAGAACTGTCAAATCGCATGACAAGTCGCACCAGTGTGAACCGGGGCTTAGATTTGTCTGAAATCTGCTGGTGGGTTTAGGTGGGTGGTGGAGGGCTTAGAATGTTTTTTGATTCTTTTTTTCTTTTATTCCTGTATAATTAGAGCCATTCCACGTGATGTGCGCTGTGCCCGCTGTTAACCACTTCTCTTTCTCTGCAGTGCATCGGCAGAGGTTACTCTTCGCCTGTGTCGTGTGGTTGACATTTATGTACTTCTTCTGGAAACTGGGAGACCCCTTCCCCATTCTCAGCCCAAAGCACGGTATATATATTTTACGTCCTTACTGATTATAATCAATAAAAAATGTATATATAAGGTGTGTATAATAAAAACACACATGGAGCATCTGCCTCTGATCCTGGCCGACAGGACCAGACTGATCAAGTAAGCCGGTTAAAATGGTGGCAGAGGTAGCAGTGCCTTAGATGATCTCACACTGCAGATATGGAGCTTGAGGCGCAAGAAGAGCACTGCTGTTTTCCAGGAGAAATTTCAAGCAAAATGTAGAAATTGGATGGTACTGCTTAGGCACAATTTACCATTTATTATATTATATTTATTACCATTATTTACCATTATTTACCATTTATTATATTATATTTATTATAAGACAGAAAACCTTCACTTCCACTTTTTTGATTCACATCCAGTTTAATGTAAACATTCGAGTTTAACGTATAACTAAAGACAAAACTTTACTTTTTTTTTTTTTTTTAGCTTTGAATAAAGTGGAGAGGGAGATGGGAGATTCACCCTCTCTGCTTGTCCTGTTTATCCTGTTTACCATTAGCCCCAATGAAGACACTAGTTCTGATGACATCTAGAGATTCCCTCATTTGGGAAGGAATTTCCTCTCACTTTCTTTTTTTAATTATGGGACAGGAAGTGAAGAGAAATCTCCCCAATGGGACACAAATTGAAAAAAAAAAAAATGCAAACAACAGGGGTTATAACCCTCCTTTACTCGATCCAAAATTAAAAAATGATTTGACTTTAGTTTTTACCATTTATAAAAGGTATCACCTCAGAAGCCTGTCTCTAGTATTAAATTATTAATGAGGACCTCCTGCTCTACCTTACAGTACCCAAAAATAAGTTGAGGAAAAGCTGCTGGCACCTGACCATGTACCAAAAATGGATAATATGCTAAAATGAAATGGTGCTGCGCTAATCCAGTTTCACAGTATCACATAGTCAAAATAAGGTAAATACTAACAATGCCGTCCACGTCGGAAATACATCACCATGTCCCTACGTGTTACGTCCCGTTAACATGTGACTTCCTGAGGGTGACCCTGAGGAAGTCACATGTCACTTTAGTGTATTTCAAATTGGACATTATTTCTGGGTTTCACTTATGTATTTACTTTTATTTGTTTGTTTGTTTTTGATGGTTTTTGGGCTTAGTCATGATATCACTTATGTGTTTGTATCCCATTTAGGTCACTTTATTTTTACTATTATAGACCATGTATGGTCATATTTTGTTTTCACTATTAATTATCACTGGAGCGTACAATAGTGACGCCTTTTCTATGTGTACCTAGAAAGTCACTATCCACAAGACCACGCTTTGACGGTCTTTGTGTGTTTTCTTGTCTATTCTATTTTATAGATTTGCTATATGTGATTATGTATTCACTATTGTCACTGATTGAATGCTGTCTGTAGTATCCATTAAGTGTTTTGCATGCCCTTGTATGACTTAGCTGTAGATGGGTTTCAGAGCTGTACTTACATTCTGACTCTTCTTCCTGCAGGAATCCTCTCCATTGAGCAGCTGATCAGCCGGGTGGGTGTCATTGGGGTGACACTGATGGCCTTACTGTCTGGTTTTGGTGCTGTGAATTGTCCCTATACCTATATGTCCTACTTCTTAAGGTACGTTGATGTTCCTATGGAGATTGCCAGTCTCAGTCCAGATCTTCCAAGTTTTTTGTTATACTTTGTGAGCATTGCCTGGTCTTTGCTTTATTGGGCCCAGTGGACAGTCAGTGCCCTACTCAATCTGATCAATTAAAGGTCTGGGATTGCACAAGAGCTTTTACACCTAAAGGTACAGACAGTATAGGATCCAATATACGAAGGTTTGTTGCTGCTGTTCCAAAGTGGAGCATCCTTTGTAGTGGATTACTCTCTGGGCTGTCTGGGTGATTACACCAAGTATAGGCTAGTCCTTACCCAGAACTGCCGACACATCCAGAGAAAAACAGCCAACCGCACACCATAAAGTCCAACACTTGTAAAATGTTGTTAGTAAAGGGTGAGCTGCACAAACGAGCCCCACGTGGCACCTTCTCGTTTGATGCTTTTTACCGTGTTACAATATGCCTGGCAACCCCCTTGACATGCCTCACAGCTTCTGGCACACTGAAATCTGGAGTGATGAGACCAAAATAGAGCTTTATTGTTGGAGAGGGGTCAACAAGACCTTTAGGAACAAGTATACCATCACACTGTGAAGCATGGTGGTGGCTCACTGATGTTTTGGGGGAGGGGGTGAGCCCTAAAGGCATAGGGAATCTTTTGGAAATTGATGGCAAAATGAATGCAGCATGTTATCAGAAAATGCTGGCAGACAATTTGCATTCTTCTGTACGAAAGCTGCACATGGGGCGCTGTTGGACTTTTCAGTACGACAATGGCCCTAAGCACAAGGCCAAGGTGACCCTCTGGTGGTTACAGCAGAAAAGGGTGAAGGTTCTGGAGTGGCCATCACAGTCCCCTGGCCTTAATATCATCGAGCCACTCTGGGGAGATCTGAAATGTGTAGTTCATGGAAGATAACTGAAGATTTTGAATGACCTGGAGGCATTTTGCCAAGATGAATGGGCAGCTCTACCACCTGCAAGGATTCAGGGAATCACAGACAACTATTACAGAAGTCTGCACACTGTCATTGATGCTAAAGGAGGCAATACACAGTAATAGGAACTAAGGGGATGCAGACTTATGAACAGGGGGCATTTCATTTGTTTACTTGTTGCCATGTTCTGTTTTATGATTGGGCCATTCTGTTATGACCTGCAGCTGAATATGAATCCCATAAGGAATAAAAGAAATGTGTTTTTCCTGCTCACTCATATTTTCTTTAAAAATGGTACAAACTGTATATTACCAATTCTCCAAGCGGAGGCAAACTTTTGAGCATGACTGTATTACCTGTATGCTCCTTGGATGTAGATGCACCTAAACTATATGTCTTAGCAAAACCTTATTTTAATTTGGATAAAGTGGAGAAGGGTTAGATCCTCCGTCAAATGTTTATTGCTGTTCTGTGTCCCTATTAGTACCCTATAGTTGTAATAGTGACCACTGTCCCCGAAACGGAAAGTGAAGGGAAATCTAAAGTTTTAGAGTTGTCCCCAGGACAAGAGGTAAGGGAAAATCTTCTAATGGGGCACCTGTTCTTGGGACAAATTTTTGGGAAATTTCCTTGAACTCCCTGGTACATTTTTGGGGCAGAAAATGAAAAGAAATTTCCCCAGTGGTACACAGATAAACAAAAAAATAACCTTGTGGGGGGGTTTTACCTTTTTCTTACTGTATCCAAAATTAAAAAAAATCTGTCTGTGCCCCCCGTTCTGGAGAGTCACCCTCTCTATTTGTCATGTCTACTGTTATCATTGAAAACATACAGTGGATATAAAAAGTCTACACACCCCTGTTAAAATGTCAGGTTTCTGTGATGTAAAAAAATGAGACAAAGATAAATAAATTCAGGACTTTTTCCACCTGTAATGTGACCTATAAACTGCACAACTCAAACAACAAACTAAAATCTTTTAGGTGGAGGGAAGTAAAAATAAAAAACTAAAATAATATGGTTGCATAAGTGTGCACACCCTTAAATATTTTGTTGAAGAACCTTTTGATGTGACTCCAGCACTCAGTCTTTTTGGGTATGAGTCTCCTGTGCACAGCCTTCTTCAGATCACCCCACAGATTTTCCATTGGATTCAGGTCTGGGCACTGGCTGGGCCATTCCAAAACTTTCATCTTCTTCTGGTGAAGCCATTCCTTTGTTGATTTGGATGTATGCTTTGGATCGTTGTCATGCTGAAAGATGAAGTTCCTCTTCATGTTCAGCTTTCTGCAGAAGCCTGAAGGTTTTGTGTCAATATTGACTGGTATTTGGAACTGTTCATAATTCCCTCTACCTTGACTAAGGCCCCAGTTCCAGCTGAAGAAAAACAGCCCCAAAGCATGATGCTGCCACCACCATGCTTCACAGTGGGTATGGTGTTCCTTTGGTGATGTGCAGTGTTGTTTTTGCGCCAAATGTATCTTTTGGAATTATGGCCAAAAAGTTCAACCTTGGTTTCATCAGACCATAACACATTTTCCCACATGCTTTTGGGAGACTTCAGATGTGTTTTTTGCAAAATTTAGCCGGGCTTGGATGTTTTTCTTTGTAAGAAAAGACTTCTGTCTTGCCACTCTACCCCATGGCCCAGACATATGAAGAATACGGGAGATTGTTGTCACATGGACCACACAGCTAGTACTTGCCAGATATTCCTGCAACTCCTTTAATGTTGCTGTAGGCCTCTTGGCAGCCTCCCAGACCAGTTTTCTTCTCATCTGATCATCAATTTTGGAGGGATGTCCAGTTCTTGGTGATGTCACTGTTGCAACATATTTTCTCCACATGATGATGACTGTCTTCATTGTGTTCCATGGTATATCTAATGCCTTGGAAATTCTTTTGTACCCTTCTCCTGACTGATACCTTTTAATAATGATATCCCTCTGATGCTTTGGAAGCTCTCTGTGGACCATGGATTTTGCTGTAGGATGCGACTAAGAAAATGTGAGGAAATACCTACTAGAACAGCTGAACTTTATTTGGGGTTAATCAGAGGCACTTTAAATGATGGCAGGTGTGTACTGACACCTATTTAACATGATTTTGAATGTGATTTATTAATTCTGAACACAGCTACATCCCCAGTTATAAGAGGGTGTGCACACTTATGCAACCACATTATTTTAGTTTTTTTATGTTTACTTCCCCCCCCCCCTAAAAGATTTCAGTTTGTTTTTCAATTGAGTTGTACAGTTTATAGGTCACAATAAAGGTGGAAAAAGTTCTGAAATTATTTATCTTTGTTTCCTTTTTTTACATCACAGAAACCTGACATTTTAACAGGGGGGTGTAGACTTTTTATATCCACTGCAAATGTAAAAGAAAGTCATACATTTTGAGTTGTCATCAGATCAGGAACAGAGGGAAATCTTCAGTTTACTTTACTTTGGGGGGGATTTCCTCTCACTGCCTGTTCTGGCTATGAGACAGGAAGTGAAGGGAAATCTCCTCAATGGGACATAGATGGCAAAAAATACTTACAGGGGTTAAAAACCCTCCCTTGTTCTTTCCAATGAAAAAAAAGTTTTCTTTTTAGTTTTATTTTAAAAGAAAATATTTAGGCTGAAGTGCAGGATTTGCCATAGTTATGTTTTATGGTTTCTTTTTTTTTTTTTTTTTTTGAAGGAATGTCACCGAAGCAGACATTCAGGCTCTAGAACGAAGATTGCTGCAAACGATGGACATGATTGTCAGCAAGAAGAAGAGGTAATACAAAGCGTCCTCTAGAAGGCAGCAGCACACAATATATTATACAGTCCATTCCCACCCATTACTAATGTTAGCCATACACAAAGTTACACTATATGGGCAAAAATGTGTGGACACCTGACCATCAAACAACTATAAGCCGAAAAGTATGTGGAACCCCGACCAGCCCCCCCCCCCCAAATGATTACAAGTTCAAGTGTTTCCAGTGAATGGTAGTGTTAATATTACAGCAAAGTCATTTCAGAGCAGGGATAGGCAACCTTCGAGAGGTGGAGATCTACCTGAACAACATGGGAGAAGTCAAAGATCACCAAACAGTGTACTTAGGGCCAGTTCACAGAAGAACATGGTACGGGAAAGGTGCATTCCGTGTGCGTTTCCTGAACTGAAAGGCGCACCAAATGCGATTTCTCCTGCGCTCCGGGACCCAGGCCGGTGGTGAGTAGATGAAATCAAACTCCCGAAAAGCAACCACCGGAATAAACAAGGTCGTGCAGCTCCACACCAAGGCTGGGGAAGCCCGAACAGAACTGTGAAGTAAAACAACAAGAAGCGCACCAACCTTGCGCATTACCTCCGTAACCAAAATTTATTTAGTAAAAGAATGGTACTCACAAACAGCGAATAAAAACAGGCATGTAAGTCCTCCAAGGGACTTTAAAGGCAAGGGGCCACTCAGTACAGCTGACGTGTTTCGAAGGTCATGCCTTTTTCCTCAGAGCTGGGAAGAAGGCATGACCTTTGAAACGCGTCAGATGTACTGAGTGGCTACCCCCATGATGGGATTCGCACTGGCCTCTTGCCTTTTAAAGTCCCTTGGAGGACTTACATGCCTGTTTTTATTCGCTGTTTGTGAGTACCATTCTTTTACTAAATAAATTTTGGTTACTGAGGTAATGCGCAAGGGTTGGTGCGCTTCTTGTTGTTTTACTTCACTGACAGGTGCACCACCTTTGCGATCTGCTGCACCCCAAACGCAGATCACAAATGCAGTGTGTTTGCCCGCACCAGATTTCATGGTACTGTAGTATCATGCTGTGACGGGAGTCACTTTGGGTGGGGGGCCCATGGAACCCAGCTCACTTTGGGGAAGGGGGGGAGACCCCTGTCTCAGCTCCCCATATCCCTCTTGTGTGTAAGTCACCCTGTGCCTGTTAGGGGTACAGGGTGATCTGTCGTAATATTGTGTAGACATGTCTAGGAGATAGGAGGGATGGGGGGTTGTGGAATGTTTGGTGTTATGTGGTTGCATCCCATTGTTCTATAGTTTGTCTTGCTTGGGAGCAAACTATTATGGGATGAATGTGTTTGTGTATTAGCTTAGTCGGGGGGTGTCTCCAGCAGCCCTCCCTCCTGATCGGACTGTCTGCTGGTGTGAAGTTTGAATACCTGTGTATCTCTTGTTTCTAAATGTAGATTGCCCCACCCTGTGTCATTATGCAGGGAGGGTGGATTGTCCCCTGAGTGTATATATCTTGTATCTGTGTTCAAATAAATTAGTCTACAACCTGGTTTACTTCAAGACTGGTGTCGTATAGTCTTGATTGGTCAGCTGTGGTGTCTGTGGTTGGTGTTCGGACAGGAAGCGGTATTTTAACGGAAGTACCCAGGGGCAGTCTGGGTCGGTCCCATTGCACATGCGATCTGGTGCAGTATGTTTTTGAAAAGTAGTACATACACTACTTTTTGTGCGTTTTTTGGTGCGATACACAACCCATTTAAATGAATGGGTTGCAAAATTGCACTACACCGAATCACACAGAAACACGGACCTCTACCCGCTTTAGCCGCAGAAGCAGCACCTGAGGGTATACGCATGCCGTGGCAGGAGGTATACCACCTGTTGTCAATTGCGACTCCTTCAGATGAATGGGGTCACTCCACAAATGCCCTCAACCGTGTGCAAAAAATGGTTCAACATACCAGTGTGGGGTACAAGGGGTTAAAGCAGGTGGCGAGGAGGTGCTGCATTACCTCCTCACAAGGTTGCAGGGAGATTGCAGAGCGGCCCCATTCACCTTCTCTCACTCACAACCTGAACGGATCAGTGTGCCCCCCGGAGAGCAGAGGGGAGAGTGACAGTACTAACCACACATCCATCGGCACAATTGTATATTCTGTTCCTTCAGCATACAGCACTTGCCACATATTCCTGCAGCTCCTATAATGTTTCTGTAGGCCTCTTGGCAGCCTCCCAGACCTGTTTTCATCATGCTTTGGGTGGTTGTCATGCTGAATGATGAAGTTCCTCTTCATGTTCAGCTTTCTAGCAGAAGCCTGAAGGTTTTGTGCCAATATTGACTGGTAATTGGAACTGTTCATAATTCCCTCTACCTTGACTAAGGCCCCAGTTCCAGCTAAAGAAAAACAGCCCCAAAGCATGATGCTGCCACCACCATGCTTCACTGTGGGTATGGTGTTCGTTTGGTGATGTACAGTGTAGTTTTTGCACCAAACATATCTTTTGCAATTATGGCCAAAGAGTTCACCCTTGGTTTCATCAGACCATAACACATTTTCCTACATGCTTTTGGGAGACTTCAGATGCGTTTTTGCTAAATTTATCCAGGCTTCGATGTTTTTTCTTTGTAAGAAAAGGCTTCCGTCTTGTCACTCTACCCCATAGCCCAGACATATGCAGAATACGGGAGATTGTTGTCACATGTACCACACAGCCAGTACTTGCCAAATATTCCTGCAGCTCCTTTTAATGTTTCTGTAGGCCTCTTGGCCACCTCCCAGACCAGTTTTCTTCAATTTTGGAGGGACGTCAAGGTCATGGAAATGTCACTGTTGTGCCATATTTTCTCCACTTAATGATGATGTCTTCACTGTGTTCCATGGTATATCTAATGCCTTGGAAATTCTTTTGTACCCTTCTCCTGACATACCTTTTAACAATGAGGTCCCTCTGATGCTTTGGAAGCTCTCTGCAGACCATGGTTTTTGCTGTAGGATGTAACTAAGAAAATGTCAGGAAAGACCTACTAGAACAGCTGAACTTTATTTGGGGTTAATCAGAGGCACTTTAAATGATGGCAGGTGTGTACTGACTCCTATTTAACATGATTTTTCACACCACCTGTTGTCGTTTGTGACTCATTCAGATGAATGGGGCCACTCCACAAATGCCCCTCAACTGTGTGCAAAAAACATTTCAGCATACCAGTGCGGGGTACAAGGGATTAAAGCAGGTGGTGAGGAGGCGATGCAGTGCCTCCTCACCACCTGCTTTAACCCCTTGATCACTGTACTGCAGAAGGTTGCAGGGTGATTGCAGAGCGGCCCCATTCACCTTCTCTCACAACCCGAATGGAGCAGTGTACCCCTGGAGAGCAGAGTGACAGTACTAACCACACATCCATCGGCACAATTGTATATTCTTTTCCTACAGCACACAGCGGCTGCCAACTTACCACTCTGTGGCTGGGCATAGGATTTACTGCAACGAACCTGGGAGAACAGTGGGTGTATTTACCACAAGGCAAACAAGGCATTTGCCTAGGGCAGCAAACTGCGACAAACGAGGTATGGAGACCTGTGAGTTCAAGTCCTAGGAAACCAACTGGCATAATGTGAAAAATGACTGTATTTACAGACCACATAACATTTCACCTTAAATGGTGCAAAAATGCTGAGGGGTGTATTTGCCTAGTTCAAGGCAGCAAATGCCGTGTTTGCCTGTGAAGATGTTGCCTTTCTCTCTCTCGCCATATGGTGGCTGGTGTATGCTCTCTCGGGTGGGAGGCGGAGTGCTGTTTGTCAATGTTCACTTCGCTAGCGGCAGCTTCAAAGCCCACTGAGTGGGCAGAGTCTACCAGAACTTGGCTGTATAGCTCATTTATTGAGTGTTCCAGGTCCGGGGCTTTCTGCAAGACCATGGTACTCAGTGTGCAGTCATAGAGAGCTCTACGTCCCGTTGTGGCATATTGAGGTTATGCGCTGCCCTGTAAGTAGAGAGATGACATTCAAACGGTAACCCAGCACCCCTGCCCAGTCAGGTGCATACACCATAACAATCTGGTCCACATGGCTTGTATTTCCAGGGGGCTGTTTGCCACCCAGCAAATGCCGTGTTTGCCTTGTGGTAAATTGGGCGGAGTGCTGTTTGTATCACTTCGCTGCGGCCTTCTGCCAGAACTAGAGAAGCAGTGTTGGCAAATGCGGCCGCCTGTTCACTCCGTCGTTGCAGCCCCGCATATTATCGCTCTAGAAACGGTGGCCCAGCAAGCCCAGAGTGCGATCTACCAGTCACTTGGCTGTGATTGACTGTTTCCAGCTGCCATTTTAGACAATTGTATGCTTCCACCTTTGTGGTAATAGTTTGAGGATGGTTGTAAGGAAAGATGAATTCACATCGCTGTAGGGATACCAATAATAATTTACATGTGCAATAAAATCTGCCCTTGTAGCATGTAGGCACGCATGTGCAAAACTGTGCATGCATCCTCGGAACTGGTATTGGTGCCCAGTGGTCTATATAAACTGAAGCACTGCAGAAGGAAGTTGCTGAGTGTTCCTCAGCATGTTCCTGTTTACATGAGACCTGGTCTTCTGATTCCATCTTACTGTGTATGGTGGATGGTGTATGACCCGGCTTACCTTCCTTCCTCGGCACTGCCTCCTCGATGTGACTTAGACCTTCTTTGTGGACTCCACTTACCGCCTCCTGCCTTGTAACTTATTTGCCTCGCTGTTACTGACCCCGACTTGTTTCCCAGACTCTGTCATCGAGAGTATTCCCACATGGAAGAAAAATATATTTTAAATATATTTTAAAAATATTCTTCCCAAATATATTGACATATATTCGGAATACTACAATTTTGGCCGTATTCAATATATTTTAAAAAAAAAAAAAAAAAAAAAAAAAAATATATATATATATATATGTATATATATATTTTTTTTTTTGTATGTTGAAATGCATATTTATTACAAAATATTTGAAAAATATTTTTAAAAATACATTTTCAAATATACTGCATGTCTTTAAAAATGCATTTAATCTACATTTTTGGAATGCATTTACAAATCTATGTTAAAATTACCTTTTAAATGTTAAAAAAAAATATGAAGTATTTATTAAAAAATATATATTTTTAATATATTTTGTAATATATAAAAAATGCATTACGCATTTCAACATGCAATATATTTTATATATACAGTGGGAATCAAAAGTTTGGGCACCCCAGCTAAAAATTTGTATTAATGGGCATAAAGAAGCCAAGGAAAGATGGAAAAATCTCCAAAAGGCATCAAATTACAGATTAGACATTCTTATAATGTCAACAAAAGTTAGATTTTATTTCCATCATTTACACTTTCAAAATAACAGAAAAACAAAAAAATGGCGTCTGCAAAAGTTTGGGCACCCTGCAGAATTTATAGCATGCACTGCCCCTTTTGCAAAGCTGAGACCTGCCAGTGTCATGGATTGTTCTCAATCATCGTCTGTGAAGACCAGATGATGTCAATCTCAAAGGTTTTAAATGCCCAGACTCATCTGACCTTGCCCCAACAATCAGCACCATGGGTTCTTCTAAGCAGTTGTCTAGAAAACTGAAACTGAAAATAGTTGACGCTCACAAAGCTGAAGAAGGCTATAAGAAGATAGCAAAGCGTTTTCAGATGTCAATATCCTCTGTTCGGAATGTAATTAAGAAACGGCAGTCATCAGGAACAGTGGAAGTTAAAGCAAGATCTGGAAGACCAAGAAAAATATCAGACAGAACAGCTCGCAGGATTGTGGGAAAAACAATTCAAAACCCACGTTTGACTGCACGATCCCTCCAGAAAGATCTGGCAGACACTGGAGTTGTGGTACACTATTCCACTATAAAGAGATACTTGTACAAATATGGTCTTCATGGTAGAGTCATCAGAAGAAAACCTCTTCTATGTCCTCACCACAAAAATCATCGTTTGAACTTTGCAAATGAACAAATAGACAAGCCTGATGCATTTTTGAAACAAGTTCTGTGGACCGATGAGGTTAAAATTGAACTTTTTGGCCGGAATGAGCAAAGGTACGTTTGGAGAAGAAGGGGCACAGAATTTAATGAAAAGAACCTCGGTCCAACTGTTAAGCATGGGGTTGGATCAATCATGCTTTGGGGTTGTGTTGCAGCCAGTGGCACAGGGAACATCTCACGAGTAGAAGGAAAAATGGATTCAATAAAATTTTAGCAAATTTTGGATGGTAACTTGATGCCATCTGTGAAAAAGCTGAAGTTAAAGAGAGGATGGCTTCTACAAATGGATAACGATCCTAAACACACCTCAAAATCCACGGGGGATTACATCAAGAGGCGTAAACTGAAGGTTTTGCCATGGCCTTCACAATCTCCTGACCTCAACATAATTGAAAGTCTATGGATAGACCTTAAAAGAGTCTAACTTTTGTTGACATATTATAAGAACGTCTAATCTGTAATTTGATGCCTTTTGGAGATTTTTCCATCTTTCCTTGGCTTCTTTATGCCCTTACATTAATACAAATGTTTAGCTGGGGTGCCCAAACTTTCGATCCCCACTGTATATATATATATTGAATAAGGGCAACATTTTATTATTTCAAATATATGTCAATATAGTTGGGAAGAATATTTTAATAAAATATATTTAAAATACATTTTTCCTCCATGTGGGTTGCAGCCGGAGGACTTACATGACAGCCAAGCAGAAAGTCTTTTTAGAAGAGGACTTCAGCAATGACATCACACAAACAGTGTTTTTCTCGGCACATGTTTTTTTTAAACCCCAACTGAACTTGCAGATAAAGTGATCATAAAGGTAATTTTTTTTTTTTAATAACAAACATGTCATTCTTATCTGCTCTGTGCAATGGTTTTGCACAGAGCAGCCGTGATCCTCCTCTTTCTTCAGGTATCGCCTTCCGGCGCTCTTGGTTCCACTCCTCTGCTCAGGGGTCACTTGTGTGTGCTCTCTCCTCAGCCAGCTCTGTGCGTCCATAAGACACATAAAGCGGGGCTTGGCCCCTCCTCCTGCTCCCTTCTCACTAGCTGTGATTGACAGCTGTGGGGGCCAATGGCTCCTGCTGCTGGTTCTGAACAAATGAGGCAGACACGGGAGAGCCATTGCTTTTGTACACATCACTGGATTGAGATCAGACTCAGGGAAGTATTAAAGGGGCTGCTGCACACAGAAGGTTTTTTTATGCGTGACGGTAAAAAACCTTCAGTCTTTGGAATCACTTTAAATCAGCTAAATCTATCTCAGGGGCATCAAACACAAGGTGTACAAAGTCTTACAGTTTTTTTCTCCTTTGATAAAAGATGTTTTGGTAACCTTTGCAATAGAGATATCTGTGTCTCAAACTCCAGTATGGAGTTATTCCAGTGTTCACCACAAAGAAATCAAGTGTTTACAAGAGAGGTCACTGCTTCCAATAAGGGTCAGGAAAAAGCTGCAGAGGTCCAGTACGACCTCCTCCTGAATCAGACCTATACCTATCCTATCAGCAAGTCACATGCTCCCTACTGATTTGTGAGCTCTAGCCTTGACATAGAAGGGGTCATGAAAGCATTCACTATATCCAGTCTCCCGGACCCTGCATTCACTATATCTGGTCTCCCCGGACCCTGCATTCACTATATCCAGTCTCCCCGGACCCTGCATTCACTATATCCTTGTCTCCCCGGATCCTGCATTCACTATATCCGGTCTCCCCGGACCCTGCATTCACTATATCCGGTCCCGGACCCCCGGACCCTGCATTCACTATATCCGGTCTCCCCGGACCCTGCATTGCACTATATCACCCCGGACCCTGCATTCACGGTCTCCCCGGACCCTGCATTCACTATATCCGGTCTCCCCGGACCCTGCATTCACTATATCCGGACCCTGCTTCCCCGGACCCTGCATTCACTATATCCGGTCTCCCCGGACCCTGCACTATTCACTATCCCGGGACCCTGCATTCACTATCTCTGGTCTCCCCGGACCCTGCATTCACTATATCTGGTCTCCCCGGACCCTGCATTCACTATATATCCGGTCTCCCGGGTCTCTCCCGGACCCTGCATTCACTATATCCGGTCTGGTCTCCCCGGACCCTGCATTCACTATATCCGGTCTCTCCCGGACCCTGCATTTACTATATCCGGTCTCCCGGACCCTGCACTTCCACTATATTCACTATATCTTGGTTTCCCGGCATTCACCTGCATTCACTATATCCGGTCTCCCCGGACCCTGCATTCACTATATATCCGGTCTCCCTGGACCCTGCATTCACTATATCCGGTCTCCCCGGACCCTGCATTCACTATATCCGGTCTCCCCAGGACCCTGCATTCACTATATCCCGTCTCCCCGGACCCTGCATTCACTATATCTGGTCTCCCGGACCCCGCATTCACATTCCCAGGACTATATATCCTGGTCTCCCCGACCCTGCATTTCTATATCCCTCCCCCGGACCCTGCATTCACTATATCCGGTCTCCCCTGGACCCTGCATTCACTATATCGGTCTCCCCGGACCCTGCATTCACTACTATCTGGTCTCCCCTGGACCCTGCATTCACTATCTGTCTCCCCGGACCCGGTCTCTCCCCGGACCCTGCATTCACTATATCCGGTCTCCCTGGACCCTGCATTCATTCATATATCCGGTCTCCCCGGACCCTGCATTCACTATATCAGGGTCTCCCCGGACCTGCATTCACTATATCGGTCTCCCGGACGGTTCTCCCCGGACCCTGCATTCACTATATCCGGTTCCCCGGACCCTGCATCACTATATCCGGTTCCCCGGACCCTGCATTTTCATTACCTATCCGGTCTCCCCGGACCCTGCATTTTATATATATCCGGTCTCCCCGGACCCTGCATTCACTATATCCGGTCTCCCCGGACCCTGCATTCACTATATCCGATCTCCCTGGACCCTGCATTCACTATATGTGGTCTCCCCGGACCCTGCATTCACTATATCTGGTCTCCCTGGACCCGCATTCACTATATCTGGTCTCCCCGGACCCCGCATTCACTATATCTTGTCTCCCCGGACCCTGCATTTACTATATCTGGTCTCCCCGGACCCCACATTTACTATATCTTGTCTCCCCGGACCCCGCATTTACTATATCTGGTGTCCCCGGACCCCGCATTTACTATATCTGGTCTCCCCGGACCCAGAATTCACTATATCTGGTCTCCCCGGACCCTGCATTCACTATATCTGGTCTCCCTGGACCCTGCATTCACTATATCCGGTCCCCCCCGGACCCTGCATTCACTATATGCGGTGCCCCCCGGACCCTGCATTCACTATATCCGGTCTCCCCGGACCCCGCATTCACTATATCCGGTCTCCCCGGACCCCGCATTCACTATATCTGGTCTCCCCGGACCCTGCATTCACTATATCGGTCTCCCCGGACCCTGCATTCACTATATCTGGTCTCCCCGGACCCTGCATTCACTATATCTGGTCTCCCCGGACCCTGCATTCACTATATCAGGTCTCCCACAGTACACAACATGGAAATGCAATTATTTTAGTAAATATAAACTGCTAAATACCTTTTCTCATCAGCAATTAGAGCAGTCTTGTGACTTCAGCAGAGCACTGGTTAAAGATTGTAGGAGTTTTCTTTCTGCTCTAGGAGGAGGTGAAAGTCCTGACCCTCTGTCTGGACAATGCTGATTGGCCCTGTGCTGATCACATGCACTCTCCCGAAAAAAAAAAAAACACCTTTTTAGCAATACACATCGAACTGAGCATGTGCATGTGACTACGGTTCAGTCTGTATCAGGTGGTCATTTCAACAAGAGGAGAGACAGAGAGGAAAGGATCAGTCTTTGACAGGTACTACCCGAATTTGACAGGTACCCGCTCCCACTTCCGGTCTGATCTCCTAGGCCAGGGGTAGGCAACCTGCGGCTCTCTAGCTGTTTTGGAACTACATTTCCCATGAGGCATTACAAAGATTACAAAACTGACAGCCACAGCTATGACTTGCAGGGGCATGATGGAACTTGTAGTCCTGCGGTTCTCAGGTTGCCTACCCCTGGCCTAGGCAATCGGAAGCAAAGGTGTCCTCTCACCCTCCCTGTAGTCTTGTGGGACACGTGACAGGTCCCAGAAGACTACAGATCCCTTCATGAAGCGCAGCGCTACTCGCGCATGCTCAGTGGGTACCTGGCTGTGAAGCCGCAAGCTATCACAGCCGGGTGCCCACACTGAAGATGCCGGCCTCCTATAATACAGGACAGCCAGTGAAATGAGCTGCGGGGGACACAACACGGGACCGAGGGACAGGTAAGTGACTGTTTTTTAAAAGTCAGCAGCTACAGTTTTTGTAGCTGCTGACTTTTATTTTTTGACAGGGTGAGCGGAACTCCGCTTTAATACAAAAAAGCCTTAAAGGCACAGTCTTGTAATTATTGTGAATGTGACATTGTTATGTACTTTATGGTAAACACTGAAATAATGCCAAATACATGCTCAGGACCACAGGAATATGACAGGGTTTATTATAAATATGTAAAGTGCGGTCTAAGTCCTCATGTACACTTGACGTCTCCTCACACTGCTGATAAGAGCCGCGTTAAAAACACTAGTTTTTCAGCATTTTTCAGCGTTTTTTGCATAGCGTTTATATGCATTTTTTGGCATTTTTCTGCTTTAGCGTTTTTTTTTAGCTGAAACATCTCACTTTGCTATTTGTTGCATCCCACTTTCCCAGAATGCATCATCGCCACAATTTTGAGAGCAGAAACAGCAAAAGAGCATATAGAGAAGCTTCAATAGCTCAGCAGGACATGGTATCATTTCCTGTATTGCACATAGTGCTCTAATCTGAGATAATAGGACTGCAAAGGACAATGGGAAATGACTCAGCAGGACAGGGTGTCACTTTCTGTTTTGCACCCAGTGCTGTAATCTGAGACAATAGGACTGCAAAGGACAATGGGAAATGTTCAGCAGGACAGGGTGTCACTTCCTGTTTTGCACCCAGTGTGCTAATCTGAACAATAGGACTGCAAAGGACAATGGGAAATAGTTGAGCAGGACAGTGTCACTTCCTGTTTTCCACACAGTGCTGTAATCTGTAACAATAGGACTGCAAAGGACAATGGGAAATGACTTGGCAGGATGATGTGTCACTTCCTGTTTTACCAGACAGTGCTGTAATCTGAGACAATAGGGACTGTAAAGAACAATGGGAAAAGACTCAGCAGCACATTGTGTCACTTCCTGTTTTGCACAGCGAAGTGCTGTAATCTGAGACAATAGGGCTGTAAAGGACAATGGGAAAATGACTCAGCAGGACATTGTGTCACTTCCTGTTTTGCACCCAGTGCTGTAATCTGAGACAATAGGACTGTAAAGGACAATGGGAAATGACTCTGCAAAAGTATGAAGTATGTCAACAAAGCCAAACAAAGATAACAAAGTCAACAGAGCTGAAAATCAATAAAATGATTTGGTTACATGTAGGGCATATAGAAACAAGAGCATCCCAAACAAAAACTGGATAAGCAGTAATCATTTTCCTTTTCCATAAAATTATTATTTTTTTAAAATGTCACTTTAATAACGCTAAAGAATGGCCGTTTTTGCATTTTACAGGCGTTTCAACGTTTTTACAGCTGAAAACTCCTCTAGAAACCCACTAGTTTTGGGGTTTTTTTCCCAGCCAAAAAACATCCCAGCCAAAAAAAAACGTTGATTACAGCCTGTGTGTGCATGGGCACATAGGATAACATGCTGGGGAGTTAATTGGCTGCAGAAAAAAAGGTCCAAAGCCAAAAACAGGCGCTGTAAAAACGTCCCGTGTGCATCAGGACTAATGGTGTTCTTCCGTTTGCTGTAGTCCATTCCATTGTAGGGTCCTGTTTGAACTTTGGTACTGGAGTTTGAGATACTGATATCTCCTTTGCAAAGGTTACCATTAATATCTTATCTGTCAGAGAATGAGTAAGAGGGAGAAAGATAAGTGTTCTCACCAAATTTACAGGCTCCAACCTTCTAGAAGGAACTCTTAGGACATATTATTTAAAGAAAGAGAAAACCTTTTTGATAAATTTTACTTTTATTGCATAACAGTTGTTATGTCTTATAGATCCATATCTTAAAGAACAGTTGACTTTTGATAGTCCGAAATCTTTATACGTGAACAGTTTAACAGAAGTAAATCCTGATGGGAGGAGGGGCAGAGAGAGAGCCTGCAGTTCCACAGCTGTGCAGAGGAGGGCACCGTTCATCCTTGCAGAAGATGAGGGCTGGGAGTATAACCACCCTTGCTGAAGAAGTCTTATGCAGGCCATACACGGGTCCAATTCAGAATTAATTTTCTTTAGAAAATCGGAAATTTTCTGCATTTTGTAATTGATGGTGCCACCATTGATTTCGAAAATCAACCAATACCAAGCCTTCAATTTCTCCTCATGTTGCTACAGAAAAGAATTTTCATGGCCAAGAATTTTCTTTTCTTTTCAGGTCACAGCTTTATATTTCCCATCACTGATTTGAAATTCGTTTGTTTTTCAAAAAATTTCCAACATGCCCGATCAATCAAATTTGATGGTCACATGAAAATCAGCCATTTCTGTGACCCACTAAAGGTGCGAAATTCGAACAAAAATTCTTAGAAAATATTTTTGCAAGAAAATTCTTTCAGAATTCGACCCGTGTATGGCCGTCTTTAAAGTGTATGTGAAGCCAAAACGTTTTTTAGTTTGGGATAGAATGTGAGAGTTAGAACAGCCTTTCTCAACCTTTTTAACACACAGGAACCCTTGAAAGAACTTTCCGGTCTCAGGGAACCCGTGTTAAAAATGACCATATCTACAGAAATCATGATACATTAGTGTGATGGTCAGTGGGAGGAATGCTCCTTACACTAGTGGTCAGTGGGAAGAATTCCCCCCTTACAGAGAGCTAAAAAGACCAATGGTGTCAGTGGGAACTTAGAGAGGCAAAAGTTGCTCAATACTTAAGCACTTCCCATCCGCCCCATGTATATAAACGGCCGGATGGTGGCAGTGCAGGCGCGGGTTGCCGTTCATTAATGGCGCCCTCCACTTTGGACAGTGCGCACTCCCTGGGAGCGCGCGACACCGCTATCCAGCATGTACGTGACCTCTGTGTGAGGTCCCGATCATGTGATCACTGATTGGCCAATCAGTGATCACATGAAGAGTAGTAAGCAAGATGTCACTTCTGACATCATTTCTTACTACTAGTGAAATCTGTGAATGACCACAGAGGTCACATGGTACAAGGCTATTCACAACAGCCTTGTACCATGTGACAAGCTGTGACCAATCAAAGCTCACTCAGTATTTCTCAATGGCTACAAGAATGCAGACAGAGAAAAGGAGAAACTATTGCTTTTACAGCCTTTATGGGTGTAAAAGCAATCAGTGTAAAAAAAAAAAAAAATATTCATCACCCCCCACAAGTAGTACAGTGTCACAATGGTGACACTGTACTGCTAGGGTGACAGTATGTTAAAAAAAACATAAATAATAATATAAAACAAAAATAAAAATGTAAAAAAAAATTTTTTAACTTATAATTTTTGGTTATTAACCGATTTTTTTCCGAAAAAGATAACTGAATACATTTTGGCCAAGATTTATGAAGAAAGATTATTTATTTGCAATATTCTATAAGAAAAACACTTTTTTTCAAAATTTTTGGACATTTTCATTTATATAGGAAAAAAAAAAAAAAAAATCCCAGCGGTGAAAAATAAAGTTTTATCTGTCTCAAAAAAATGCTAAAAAATTCACATGTGTACAGTGTTTTATGACCACGCAATTGTCATTCAAAGTGTGATAGCGCTGAAAGCTGAAAATTGGCCTGGACAGGAAGGGGGTAAAAGTGTCCGGACATGAAGTGGATAAGGAACCCCTAGTGGCCTCTGGAGCAACCCTGGTTTAGAACCTCTGCTGGATGTTTACTGCTAAGAAGTGGGTGCTGGAGTCAAATCCATAACCGTCAATAAAGAATATTGGGTTAAGCCTGAGGCGTGGTCCTCCACAACGCAGAGGACCCTTCAAGACAAAGGGGTCGCCCAAATTCAGAAAGCTGCATATAAGTGAAGCAAAAAGTGCACCATTACAATTGTGTTGAGAGTCCAAAAAAAGCAACAGGAAAGCAAAAGGTGCCAGAGCGTTTCGGAATCCACGACCCCCCCCACCTGCCCGCCCATCAGGGTTTACAGTGATTTCACTTTAAGGCTACTTTCACAAGGGTCCGTAGCAAAAACACGCTAAAAACCCATATGTATTTTCGCCGTGTGTTTTTACTGTGTGGTGCATTTTAGCCCCGGTTCACATATATGCGGCCGTGCGGGCACGAGAGCCCATTCATTTGAATGGACTCCCATGCCCCGGGACACGCAGGGAAGAAGTCCCTGCACTTCTTTCAAAAAACGCAGCCCACACGGGAACCTCGGTTCCCAGAACGTTTTCCAGTGTGGGCGGCGTGCCATTAGAACTAATGGCACCCGCCCGCGGGTCCGCATTTCTCTGTGCGGGTGGTGCGGCTGCACAGATTTTCGTGTGGATCCGCAGCAGCAGCACCACCCACACAGATATGAACCTGGCCTTACACGTGACTCAAAAACCGCATCAAAAACAATGCAGGCGTGTTCTCGCCTTGTTTTCTATGCATTTCAGTGGGTTGGTGTGGTTTTTTTTGTTTTTTTTTACCATAGGAAACCTGCACCAAAAATACAGCAATCTGGATTTTACTAAACGCAGCGGACCCACGACAGATAAGTGTAAAGCGTTCCATAGGATTGGATGGTCACACATTTATCTTCTGCTTTTGTGTTAAAAAAGCGGAAGATAAATGTGTGACCTTCTAATCCTATGGAACTCTGTACACTGATCCGTCGTGGGACATCACAGTTTGAAAACAGCCTAAGAATGATTTGAAAGTATTTTGAAATATAATATCAAGTGTTTGCTCCAGCACCGAATGCTTTGTGAATGGCCAAGGACCTCCGAAACGCGTAGCCCGCCTTTTGCTTTCCTGTTGTTATATTGTGACAGGAATAAAGAACTTTTTGGATTCTAGAAGACAATTGTATGGAGTTCCTTTTGGTTCACTTACACAAGGTATTTACTTCTGTGTATGTGTCACTCTGGGTGGATTCACCCTCACTGTGACCCAGGTTACCATTGACTCTGGGAGAGAAGGTGATGGATATTTAAAAATGTTTCATTTGTCACACAAACAGCAGATGAAGGAAAATCTTGTTCTGGTGACAGCTAAGTGTAAGGGATACAGTATCCTCTTGTTTTGGGGAGATCTGTTACTCCCTACGTTGTCTGTAGGACAGGAAGGGAAAGGGTATCTTGCTGTTGAGATGGATACAGGAAAAAAAAAACGAGAACATGGGCCTTAGTTATTACCTACTCTATCCAATGCTAGAATCTTGTTTTTGCCTCTTCTTCACTTTAGGAAAATCAAAGTAAAAACTTTTGGCTGTTCTTACACCTGAACACTGTAAGCTGTCGGTGGTCTCCCTGTAGCTGATTTTTTTTCTGTTACTGACTTACCATGCCTTGTTTTGCAGTAGGGCTGGATCTAGCCTGTCTGATATGGGAGCGCAAAAAAAAATGTCTGGGAGGCAAAAAATGGGAGATCAGCAGGATATTGTAGAGGGGGCAGCAGGGCAGTGTAGAGGGGTCAGCAGAGCTGAGGACAGGGGTCAGCAGGGAAGAGGAGAGGGGTAACAACTGGGGGTACAGAGGTCACAAGTGGCAGGGCAGAGAACAGGAGTCACTGTTGGCAGGGCAGAGGACAGGGGTCAGCAGGGAAGAGGGCAGGGGTCACAACTGGGGGTACAGAGGTCACAAGTGGCAGGGCAGAGGACAGGAGTCACTGTTGGCAGGGCAGAGGACAGGGGTCAGCAGGGAAGAGGGCAGGGGTCACAACTGGGAGTACAGAGGTCACAAGTGGCAGGGCAGAGGACAGGAGTCGCTGTTGGCAGGGCAGAGGACAAGGGTCAGCAGGGAAGAGGGCAGGAGTCACAACTGGGAGTACAGAGGTCACAAGTGGCAGGGCAGAGGACAGGAGTCGCTGTTGGCAGGGCAGAGAACACTAGGAGGGGTCAGTAGGGAAGAGGGCAGCAGGGAAGAGGGGTCACAACTGGGAGTACAGAGGTCACAAGTGGCAGGGCAGAGGACAGGAGTCACTGTTGGCAGGGCAGAGGACAAGGGTCAGCAGGGAAGAGGGCAGGGGTCACAACTGGGAGTACAGAGGTCGCAAGTGGCAGGGCAGAGGACAGGAGTCACTGTTGGCAGGGCAGAGGACAGGGGTCAGCAGGGAAGAGGGCAGGGGTCACAACTGGGAGTACAGAGGTCACAAGTGGCAGGGCAGAGGACAGGAGTCACTGTTGACAGGGCAGAGGACAGGGGTCACTGCTGGCAGGGCACTCAGTGAAGCTCCTTCTCCTATCCCTGCACTGCACACAGCCTGGGCACAGATATCAGAGCTCCTCCTCCCCCACACAGATAACTTTGCCTTTGGTGGGGCACAACTAAAATCTGGGGGGGGGCATAGCTCACCCAAGCACCCCCCCCCCCCCCAGATCCGGCTCTGTTCTGCAGTATGTCTCTGAGTGGAGGCAGCCATTTTGGTAGAAGCAGGACTTTGCTTCCTCATGTCACAGCTTCCAGCAAGGAGAACAGTGAGCAGCACAATAGTGACACCATCAAATCTAAATGCAAATCTCCCGAGACTAGAAGTCAGAGGCACCACTGCCTTAGATCTCACACTGCAGATATACAGCTATGAGGCTATCGCTTTTCAGAGGGCAGTTGACAGGCTTTGAGGAGGCAATATGTCATCTCCTCATCGAATGTTTTAACCGAAAAAAAAGGTGAACCTGTGTGCATTGCACGCTGTTGCAGAGTAGCCCCATCAACCTCAATGGGTCACATTCAGCATCGGTACTATTCGCTGAGTGCGACATACGTTTAATGTTTGCTGCAGCATGTGTACAGGCCTGAACAACTGCATATCTTTGCTTACATGGGTAGTTGGGGTGAGGGTGGGGGTTGCTCAACTACCTGCTTGTACCACCCCCTGGCCACACATCTGAATGAGGCCTGATTGAATCCAGCGAGCAGTGTTGGCTCTGTGCCTGTCCTACCTGCCATGTCATTTACTAAGCTGCTGCTATTAATAATCCACTTTATCAATAGTTTCCCTCATAATGCGATCTCACTGTTCTCTGCTTCCCTTTTCCATGATTAATTCATTAGATGGAATTATACATTTCATTTCCATTTTCCCTGCAATGTTTATCTCATTTACTTCAAGTTGGTTTTATAGTTTTTGGGCAGTTTGCCAAATCTTAGTTCCCGTTTCCCACAATGTGACGCTATTTAAAGGGTCAGTCCACCCTAAAGTGGTGATTTTTTTTTTTTTTATACACTATACAGCTCAAGGATTGTGGACACCTGACCATCACACCTACCTATATAGCCAAAAGTATATCAACATCTCTGCAAATGATTGAGTTCAGGTGTTTCCATTGAAGGGTCCTGGTAATACTACAACATACAAAAACTTTGTGAACAATTGTACTTTTCCAACCTTGTGGTTTGAGGAAGGTCCTTTTCTGCTCCAGCATGACTGTGCCCGTGTGCACACCCAGCTCCATAAAGACATGGTTTGATGAGTTTGATGTAGAGGAACTCCAACGGTTGCATGGAGCCCAGACCTCAACCCTACTGAGCACTTTGGGATGAATTAGAATTCCGATTGTGGACCATCCACAATAACTACCTGACTTCACAAATTGAATGGACACAAATCTTCACACTCCAAAATCTTGTGGAAAGTCTTCCTAGAAGAGTGGAATCTGTTATAGCCACAAAGGAAGGATAACTCCATATTAACATCCAGGGTTTTGAATGGGATGTCAAGCTCATAGAGGTGTGATGGTCAGGTGTTCACATATTGTTATACGGTTGTGCTCAAAAGTTTGTATACCCTGACAGAAATCGTGAAATTTTAGCATTAATATTAATAGTATGACTGGTCATGCCAAAAAACTGTCTTTTTTTTTTTTTTTAACCACTTCCTGTCCGGCCGGCTGGGAGCATTGTAGGAGCAGGTGACCGTTTATAAATGTCCTCCCCGCTCCCCGCCTGTGCGCGCTCCCTGGGAGCGCGCGGCACCACGATCCGGTGCCCGCTGTATCTTCTGGAACACCGATTGCTGTACGGGACCTTTGTGAGATCCTGATCATGTGATCACTGATTGGCCAATATTCACTAGGGGCAGAGACCACTGTTTCCACACACAGAGCAAGGGTCTTTTTTTACATTATGCTGGCAGCGTCATTTTTTTCTACTGAAACTGTGGCTGCTTTTATAAAAAAAGGAACTGTAAGACTATACACACCTTTTTTTGTGATGGAATGTAATCAGAAGACACTCAACATTTTTAGGAAGGTTAGTTTTCCAAAATGATGCAGAGGGTGGATGTGTGGCCAGTGTACCTGCAGACGATACTCGGTAGACTTCTTTGGACACCATAGAATCACTATAACAGGGGTTGTCAATTTACATTTGTATGAGAATGTTATGTCTTTATAGGATAGCAACGGTGCGAAGGAACATGTTTCAGAAGGGAGAAGTGCACAGCCGCCCTGGTGGATTCTGGGGGATGATAAAGAGTGTCACATCTTCAGCTCCCGGCAGTGAAAGTATCCTAAGAATGTCGTTAATCTCGCTTGTTGTATGTCAGAGGTGGCCAAACATCTAATATAGCCACAATAATGCAAATCCTGTAAAGTAACCCTATCACTAGATAGCGTATGTACTCTCCAGCGCCTCAGGATATGCACAGCCAAAAGGGAAGCCAAGGGTACCAGGACAGCGACAACCAAAAGGAAATGTTCCAGGGGTGCAGCCCTCCTCAGACGGGGAAATCAGCCACTGGATAGAGAAAAAACAGGTGGCGCACACACCTAGTGCATTATCCAAGGTTTATTGTAGGAATTAAATCATAAAAACATACTCACAGACGAAGCATGTATCTAAAAAGCATAGAAAAATGACAATGGCCACAATGGCGGGCAAGGTGTTCTCCGCACTGACAGTTTAATTCCTACAATAAACCTTGGATAATGCACTAGGTGTGTGCGCCACCTGTTTTCTCTCAACTCTATCACTAGGGTAAAATAATTCAATTACAAGCACCCTGTAAAAAAGGATGTTTATAGTAACTCAGGGTAGCAAAAAGTCCTACAAAATAAAAGTTGCACAGCAAGAGAAGTATTAACCACTTCCCGTCTGGCCCATGTACATAAACAGCTAGACGGGAGCAGTGCAGGAGCTGGTGGCCGTTTATAAATGGCCTCTGCATTCACTGCCTGTGCGCGCTCCCTGGGAGCGCACAGCACCGCGATCCAGTGCCCGCTGTGCCCTCCGGACACAGCTTAACACCGATCACTATACGGGACCTCTGTGTGAGGTCCCGATCATGTGGTCACTGATTGGCCAATCAGTGAGCACATGAATAGTAGTAAGCAAGATGTCACTTCCTGACATCATTGCTTACCACTAGTGAAATCTGTGAATGATCACCGAGGTCACATGGTACAAGGCTATTCACAACAGCCTTGTACCATGTGACCAGCTGTGACCAATCAAAGCTCTCACACTATTTCTCAATGGCTGCAGGACTACAGCCTGAGAGAAGGAGAAATGATTGCTTTTACAGCCTTTATGGGTGTAAAAGCAATCCGTATAAAAAAAAAAAAAAAAAATCTTCATCATCCCCCACAATTAGTACAGTCACTATAGTATTGCTAGGGTGACAGTATGTTAAAAGAAAAAAAACAAAACATAAATAATAATATAAAAAAAAAAATGTAAAAAATGTTTTTGAAAAATCATAATTTTTGGTTATAAACTAATTTGGGTTATTTATTTATTTTTTACTAAAATGAGAGCTGAATACAGTTTGGCCAAGATTATGTAGAAAGATTATTTATTTGCATAATTTTATAAGAAAAACACTTTTTTTTTTCAAAATGTTTGGACTTTTTCATTTTATATAGCAAAAAAAATAAAAATCCCAGTGGTGAATAAATACCACCAAAATAAAGTTGTATCTGTCTCAAAAAAATGGTAAAAAATTCATATGGGTACAGTGTTGCATGACCGCGCAATTGTCATTCAAAGTGTGATAGCACTGAAAGCTTAAAATTGGCCTGGACAGGAAGGGGGTAAAAGTGTCCGGACTGGAAGTGGTTAAAGCTCCCTCTCCAGCAGCCCCTGTCTTTTACGTTTTCTCCTTACAGCACTACAGCCTCTCAGATTCTTCATCATTCAACACCTTTTGGTACTTCTAGATTCCTTTTGACCCCTACCACATACAGTGTTTCCCTCCTCTGACCCTAGGTCAATGCAGGACTTGGTAGTGACATAGGTGTCAGAGGATGGAACCATGGTGCACGGTGGGGGACATAGACATCCAACTTTTCTGGAAGTGTCGAATGATGAAAATACTGCAATGGAACCTGCAATGGAGAGTGAAAGTAGGAGACACTGGCCGCCAAAGAGTTAAGTGTAACACCTTTTCTATGGCAGGGCACCTTTTGTCCAGGATTTTTTGTTTCCTTAACAGAATCGCTTACCTTTGCAGTGGGTGATGAGTCAAATCTTCGCTTTCGAGTATTACAGGCCCCATTGGTATCCAACACTTCTGGGTAAGTCAGATACCTGGTCCATTGCTGTATGCTGTGATTCCTCCTGCTGGCTGTTATGCCATTACAAGACACAGTAGTGACGAAGCGGCGGGGGGGGGGATTCAACACTCATCAAGGGGCGCACTATCCCACACACCCAGAATTGGTGATTTTAAGCTGTGCGTGGAGCTTTGCAAAGGAGTGACCATTTGACTCGCCACCCATTGAAAAGGAAAATATTAAACATCTCTTTTATGGGGGTCTGGTAATTTAATTTAGCAAAACTTATTGAACTCAGAAAGTGTAGAGACCCATTAAGCTGCAAATGGTATCCAGCAACCGCTCAGGCTGTTTTTTTTTTTTTATTTGCATGATGCTCTCTGTATATCATTTCCCACCCAAAAGTGAAATGTAATTTTTGGGTAAGGTTGCTTTTCAAAGGGTATGAAATAAAGACTGTCTGAGCTACTGTCCAGGCCAGTGGTTGTCAATTTCTGTGGTATAGGGGGACTAACTGCAGCTCTTGACTTTACCATACTGGATACATAATGTTTTTTATATGTAATACTAGATATGATTGTCAAAGCATGCACACATACTAGAGGAAAGGCTGGTCAGAGAATGCAAACAACTAGAAAAAAAGGTATGGATAAAGAGTGTGGACATGGTTGAAGAAAGGATGGTCAAAGACTGCCGGCATACTAGGGGAAAAGATTGTCAAAGACTGCAGGCTGACTAGGGGAAAGGATGGTCAAAGACTACAGGCTTACTAGGGGAAAGGATGGTCAGAGACTACAGGCTTACTAGGGGAAAGGATGGTCAGAGACTACAGGCTTACTAGGGGAAAGGATGGTCAGAGACTGCAGGCTTACTAGGGGAAAGGATGGTCAGAGACTGTAGACATCCTAGTGGAATTGATAGTCAAAGAGTGTGAACATACTGTAAAAAATGGTTAGAGACTGCAGACATACCACAGAGATGATGGCCGGGGACTGCAGACATACTGAAAGAAAGGATGGTCAGATACTACAGACATATTAGAGGAAATGGTGGTCAAAGAGTTTGGACATACTAGAGGAATGATGGTCAGAGAGTTCGGACATTAGAGGAAATGATGGTCAGAGGCTGGGGCCATACTAGAGGAAATGATGTATAGAATGAGTCTGCGCAATTGTGGTGAAAATAACCAGTGTCTCCACACATGCTCCCCCTTAATCATCGCACTCACCGCAATGTTTGACTGCTGTTTTCAGTGGGTCCAGCGCGCAATTCCTTTAGCGGAATTGATGGTCAGAAACTGGGGACATACTAGAGGAAATGATGCCCAGAGACTGGGGGCACACTAGAAAAAAGATGGCCAGAGACTGCGGACATACTAGAGGAAATGATGGTAAGCGACTGGGGACATACTAGAAGAATTATGGTCAGAAACCGGACAAACTAGAAGAATAATGGTACTGGGTACATACTAGAGGAAATGTTTTCTAGAGTCTGGGGACATACTAGAGGAAATGATGGCTAGAGTCTGGGGACATACTAAAGGAAAGATGGTCAGAGATTGCAAACATACTAGAGGAATGATGGTCAGAAACTGTGGACATACTAGAGGAATGATGGTCAGAAACCGTGGACATATTAGAAGAATGATGGTCAGAAACCGTGGACATACTAGAAGAATGATGGGGGATATACTAGAGGAAATGATGGCTAGGGTCTGGGGACATACTAAATGAAAGATGGTCAGAGATTTCAAACATACTAGAAGAATGATGGTCAGAAACCATGGACATACTAGAGGAATGATGGTCAGAAACTGTGGATATACTAGACGAATGATGGTCAGAAACCATAGACGTACTAGAGGAATAATGGTCAGAAACCGTGGACATACTAGAAGAATGATGGTCAGAAACCATGGACATACTAGAGGATTGATGGTCAGAAACCGTAGACATACTAGAGGAATGATATTCAGAGGCTGGGGACTTATTCAAGGAAATTAGGGTCAGAGACTAGGGACATGCCACAGGAAATGTTGGTCAGAGACTGTGCACATATGGTCAGAGACTGGTGACATCTTAGAGGAATAATGATCATGGAGTGCAGATATACTAGCAGAATGATGTTCAGATGCTATGATATGTGACAGGTTTGGTTGGAGGTTGTTGCAATGGACAATGAGACTGGGGACATGTTGCATGAAGCTAGTAGAGATCACTGCTATTACCCCTTTACAAATATATTATGCCATAACTGACTGCCAAGCTACAAGGACCACACAGCAAGTATAGAAGGAGGGTTTCATGTGGCCCTTGGGCTGTCGGTTGGACACCAGGGATCTAAGCTAACCTGAACAGTTGCTAGACTAAACTTGCACTGGAAAGTGGCAGCTGAAGACTGAATGTTTGAATCTTGTTGGTTGTTGCTGAACAAATCAGAAAGTTCCCAAGTCTTGTTGTATAGCTGTCTCCTTAACACCAGCCATAGACCTCTCTCAGATCCAGCAGGAGGTGGACGCTCTGGAGGAACTGAGTCGGCAACTCTTTTTGGAGACTGTAGACCTTTATGCGACTAAGGTGAGAAGATCCCTGAGAAGGGTGCCTACACATGAGAACACTCCAATTATATCCAACATCTGTTTTTTTGTTTTTTTTAATATTTATTGCCAGACAGCAAAAAAGCCATTGCAAACGGTAGCATGACACGGTCATAGATGATATTCAGCAAATGAATACAACAAAGTATACAGTCATAATAATTCCCATTATAGATGACAAAGCATAATTGACTGTTAGTTTAAACCAGGGGTCTCCAAACTTTCCTAAAAAAAGGGCCAGTTTACTGTCCTTTAAACTTAGGAGGTCTGGACTGTTGCCAGTGGGAGTAGAAAGTGCCTTGGTGTCAGTGGGGGTAAACAGTGCCCCATTGTTGGTGTCATTGGGAGGAATAGTGCCCCATCGTTGGTATCAGTACAATGAATAGTGCCCCATCAATGGTGTCAGTGGAAGGAATAGTGCTTCATCGTTGGTGTCATTGGGAGGAATAGTGAACCATCATTGGTATCAGTAGAAGGAATAGTGCCCCATCATTGGTGTCAGTGGAAGGAATAGTGCCCCATCATTGGTGTCATTGGAAGGAATAGCGCCCCATCATTGGTGTTAGTGGAAGGAATAGTGCCCCATTGTTGGTGTCATTTGGAGGAATAGTGCCCCATCATTTGTATCAGTAGAAGGAATAGTTCCCTGTCGGTGTCAGTGGAAGGAATAGTGCCCCATCATTGGTGTTAGTGGGAGGACTAGTGCTACATCATTGGTGTCAGTGGGAGGAATAGTGCCCCATCATTGGTGTCAGTGGGAGGAATAGTGCTCCATCATTGGTGTCAGTGGGAGGAATAGTGCCCCATTGTTGGTGTCAGTGGGAGCAATAGTGCCCCCATGTTGGTGTCAGTGGGAGCAATAGTCCCCCATTGTTGGTGTCAGTGGGAGGAAAAGTAACTCATTGTCAGTGTCAGAAACTATGCCCCCACTGTTGCTCACAGTGGGGGAAAAATGGTCCAAGGGACGGATTAAAGCAAGCAAAGGGCCGCATCCAGCCCCCGGGCCACAGTTTGGAGACAACTGGTGTAAACCATAGACCTGTATACAAGCCATTGTCTAGCAAAAGAATTTCGAGTTTGTTTTTTTTTTTTCTAATTTGAAACAATCGAAACTGAAAAATATAATTACAAAAACAGCATATGAAACATTTCAAACCCACAGAATCATCAGAGTATGTCATTTCGTCTGATACACCATGTACAGGGGTCCGCAAACCCCTTTCCTGCCATCCCTCTGTTCAATTGTAACATAAATTACTTCGCCATCCAGGGTCACTGGGGTGTCCTCCCAACTGAATCACACATTAGTATATTTTTTGGAGCATCCTGAGCCTCATATGTATCCAACATTTTTGTAGTAGTATTATGGAACATCCTAAATTATTATTATTATACAGGATTTATATAGCGCCAACAGTTTGCTCAGCACTTTACAAAATGAAGGCAGACATTACAGTTACAATACAATTTGGTACAAGAGGAAACCTGATCCTTAGAACTTACAATCTAGGAGGAAGGGGGTTGAGTGATACAAAAGGTAATAGCTGTGGGGGGGATGAGCTGATAGAGGAAATAAATGGTGGTTTACTAGGTAGAAGCAGGATAGACTTCTTTAAAGAGGTTTTCAGGCATCATCTAAAGGTGGATAGATTAGGAGACAGCTGGACAGATTGGGGTAGGGAGTTCCATAGGATGGGAGAAGTCCTGGAGGCGAACATGGGAGGAGATGACACGGGAACTAGAGAGCAGAAGGTCTTGGGAGGATCGAAGAGACTGGTTTGGTTAATATCTTGAGACCAGGTCGGTGATGTAGAGTTGTGGATGGCTTTGTAAGTTGTTGTTAGTATTTTGAATTTTATTTGTTGAGCGAGTAGAAGCCAGTGGAGGGATTGGCAGAGAGGGGTGGAGGACACTGAGTGGAGGCCAGTGGAGGGATTGGCAGAGAGGGGTGGAGGACACTGAGTGGAGGCCAGTGGAGGGATTGGCAGAGAGGGGTGGAGGACACTGAGTGGAGGCCAGTGGAGGGATTGGCAGAGAGGGGTGGAGGACACTGAGTGGAGGTCAGTGGAGGGATTGGCAGAGAGGGGTGGAGGACACTGAGTGGAGGCCAGTGGAGGGATTGGCAGAGAGGGGTGGAGGCCAGTGGAGGGATTGGCAGAGAGGGGTGGAGGCCAGTGGAGGGATTGGCAGAGAGGGGTGGAGGACACTGAATGGTTGGTTTCTTCCGGTCTGTTATAAAGTAAAGCCAAAACTATACCCAAAATGTTTTTAAAGTTTTGCACAAAGGTGGGAAGGTTTAGAACTTCTGTAAGGTTTTTTTTATTGCTGCTGTGTCCCCATTTGAAGAGATTCATTCTCACTTCCTGTCTGCATGACGGTGTCACAAGTGACCTCCCTGGACAGAAAGTAATGTGATATCTCATAGGGACAGAGAGAGCAACAACAGCGCATTTACTTAGAAGAGCAGCAAGAGGTTAGGTTAGGGTTGCTCTCTGTGTCTTCTTGTCCCAGTGGCACCCGTACTACTCTCTTATTTCCTCTACTGGTATCACTGAGACAGGAAGTGAGGGAAAATCTCCCCAGGGAGAATCCAGGCAGCAATAAAATGTTGACAGAAGTTCTGATTGAATACTTAAAGAAGGCTGAAGTTTGGGTTTAAAAAGTAAGTCCACTTATGTGTAAGTTTTACATTTGAATGCCAACATCAGAAATTGTATCTACATTTTATTTATATTTCGAACTCTATGACTGTTAACAGCACCCAGTCAATAAGGCCTCATGCACACTGGACGGTTTTAAACGGGTTTAAAATGGTTTTCCGCATTTTTTAGAGTTGTTTACATTAGCATTTTGCCGCATTTTTCCATGTTAGCGTATTTTAGCACACATTGTTACATTTTGGCTCAAAAACGCCGGTTTGCTGCTGTGACGGAAGCGTAGGCAGGACAGAACACACAAAGAAGATGGTAAACACACAGAGCTTTATTGAACTATGGAAGGCACTCAATCAGGGTAGAAAGGTAGCGTCCAGGTACCCAAAAAGGGGAAGAGAGGGGAGGAGCCCAAAATAATAGTAATCCGGTCCAGCTTTCCAGGGACAACAGCAGGCTCACGGGGACTCAGCTGGGTCTTGGCTGTGGGGTCTGACCTCAGCTCAGACCTCCCAACAGCTGTTCTCTCTCTCTCTCTCTCGTGCAGGGGACCAACGCAGTGGTCAGCTTGTAAGGGACACATCAGGCTTGCAGGGACTCGGCAGGGTCTTGGCTGTGAGGTCTGACCTCAGCTCAGACCCCACACAGCACCCTGTCCCGAGTGGGGGACGAGCACACAGCTGGGTCCCGCGTCGGCCTTCTTAAGCCAACGCAGGATGCTTCCCGGTTGCCCTGGCATGGCCAGCCCAGCGTTGATTTGCTGGGGCAACAAGGCACACCCCCCTCACTCGGGCTGCGCTCAGGGAGCGTGGCCTTTGTCTCCGGCAGGCGCAGAGCACGGGAAACCTCGTGCCCGTGCTGCACCCCCGCCGGAGGGGGTGTGCGCGGAGACAGGTCGGCGGCACTACGCCGGAGTCCCCTGGCGGGGGGGTCACCCCTCTTCCGGCTATATGGCCAGGAGAGGTGTGATTCCCGCAACAGGGGTCACTTTCCTCCCATCCTGCGCAGCCTGTCTTCGAACGCTGTGGCAGGATGCGAGGACCTGACAAGAGGGGGGGAAGGTGGGTGAGGAGACACAGAGGGAACAGCAGGCACAGGGGGGTGGGGGAGGCACGAGCACTCCGTGATAGCTGCGTTTTATCAAGTTTACCAGTGTTAGAGCGTTTTTACAGCTAAAAAACTCTTGAAACCCCTTAGTTTTTTTGTTTTTTTTTTGGGGGGGGGGTGTTCCAGCCAGAAAATGCCCCTGCCAAAAAACATTGATTAAACCCTAGATGCCGAGCGCACACAAATATGTGGCCTCTCGTTGTCTGGGCCTTGATGCCAAGTGGCCGCATATTTGCGTACCATTTGAAAATACATATGTGCTGAGAGCGCGCTCCCTGCACACTCCCAGCACATATGTCCGTGACTCATGGAAAGGTCCCCTTGCTATCGGGACCTTTTCCGATCATGTGAACGCCGTGACAGCGAATCACGGTGGTCACATGTCCCTAAAACCCCGCTTCGCCTCCCGGCTTCTGAAACCTCTTAAAGGGACAAGAGGCGCCAAGAGGTTCAAGCCTTTGTGTGCATGGACACCTAGGATAACATGCTGGGGGGTTTACTGGCTGTACAAAAAAAAGTCCAGAAGCCAAAACAGCCGCTGTAAAAATGCCCAGTGTGCATGAGGCCTAAAACGCCACAGGTATATGGTGTAACCTCATATGTCATCCCAAACCATGTGATATCAAGCTCTGTTCTGGATTGGACGATGTCCTGAAGGTCTGTTCATTCATGTCTCTGTTCTAGGAGAGAATTGAATACTCTAAAACCTTCCAAGGCAAATACTTCAATTTCCTGGGCTACTTTTTCTCCATTTACTGTGTCTGGAAGATATTTATGGTAAGTGGATTTGGTCAGTGTCACCCTTCATGTAACATTGTTTGAACTGTGTTGATCCTCTTTTCAATCAAAATATTGATGTCAAGCCTAGCTTTTGTGCTTGCACTTCATTTGAATGTCTGAAGATAGCCAACTCGGTCCCCCACATATCTGCAACTTTTCAGTCAGTTTGTTGGAGAAACATGGCAGGAACTCTGTGCAACTTGATTTTTCTGTTTTTTTCTCAAGCAAAAGATTTTTTTTTCTTTTTTGCCTTAAAGTGCTCCTAAACCCCGGACCCTGCATTCACTATATCTGGTCTCCCTGGACCCTGTATTCACTATATCTGGTCTCCCTGGACCTTGCATTCACTATATCTGGTCTCCCTGTACCCTGCATTCACTATATCTGGTCTCCCTGGACCTTGCATTCACTATATCTGGGTCTTCCCGGACCCTGCATTCACTATCCGGTCTCCCGGACCCTGCATTCACTATATCTGGTCTCCCCGGACCCTGCACTCACTATATCTGGTCTCCCCAGGACCCTGCATTCACTATATCTGGTCTCCCCAGACCCTGCATTCACTATATCTGGTCTCCCCGGACCCTGCATTCATTATATCTGGTCTCCCCAGACCCTGCATTCACTATATCTGGTCTCCACGGACCCTGCATTCACTGTATCAGGTCTCCCCGGACCCTGCATCCACTGTATCTGGTCTCCCCGGACCCTGCATTACTTTATATCCGGTCTCCCCGGACCTTGCATTCACTATATTCGGTCTCCCTAGACCCTGCATTCACCATATCTGGTCTCCCCGGACCCTGCATTCACCATATCCGGTCTCCCTGGACCCTGCATTCACCATATCCGGTCTCCCTGGACCCTGCATTCACCATATCCGGTCTCCCCGGACCCTGCATTCACTATATCTGGTCTCCCCGCACCCTGCATTCACTATATCCGGTCTCCCCGGACCCTGCATTCACTATATCTGGTCTCCCCGGACCCTGCATTCACTATATCCGCTCTCCCCGGACCCTGCATTCACTATATCCGCTCTCCCCGGACCCTGCATTCACTATATCTGGTCTCCCACAGCACACAGAACATGGAAATGCAATTATTTTAGTAAATATAAGCTGCTAAATACCTTTTCTCATCAGCAGTTAGAGCAGTCTTTGACTTCTATCAGTGTCCAGCAGAGCACTGTTTTTTTTTTTTTTTTTTTGTATAATCTGTTTTTATTGAAGGTTTTCAATTTTCGATACAGAAAGTAAGGAACAGTAAGAAAATGTGTTGAAGCATATAAGGCAGAATTAGGAAGGGGTCTAACATCAGACCCAGCTTACAATGAAGTGATACGACTATAGGCCTGGCACATTGTATAGAGCATAATACTAGAACAGATAAGATGCCACATACCCCCAGCCCACTGACTAAACTGATCGCCAGAGGATCTGATCACCACGCAGGAGCTACATCTCTGCACCTGACCAGCCATTCCCAAGGCGAGAGGTCAAGTATGCCCCCACACATTCCAAGCTGTAAAGTTAGATTTATAAGTAACATATATTTATACATGGTACAGAGGGCATTGCATAAACCCAACACGCATGTGCAATGAAACAGAACATATACAGGTGAAATTCGAAAAATTAGAATATCGTGCAAAAGTTCATTTATTTCAGGAATGCAACTTAAAAGGTGAAACTAATATATGAGATAGACTCATTACATGCAAAGCAAGATAGTTCAAGCCGTGATTTGCCATCATTGGCAGTAGAAATGGCAACTCAGGATTAAGATGGCAGCTTTAGGGGCAAATCAGGAGGGGGGGAAGCCCGAGGAGCAGATTCCCAGAAAACTCAATCATGGTTATCCAGTCACATAGATTTTAAGCCTAAGTAGACAAAAGGGAGCCATCTGGGAGGGGGACCGAAGGCTCAGACAAAGGGCCTATGGGAGGATCAAAAATTCTATAGAACCCATATCTGAAGGAGAGGCAGCTGGGTCCTCCAATTCCATAGAGTAATACAACCATCCATCCCAGATACCATGAAAGTTCTCAAGGGTGTTTTTGACTGTGTGGACCCCTATCAACCTCTCGCTTCCACTCTGCCACAGTGGGGCATCTACTCTGCTTCCATAGATGTGGTATTAGGCTCTTAGCGGCATTCAGAAGATGCGGGGTAACGCTACGTTTATAGATTTTGATGGAAGAGGGAGTGCCATGAGACAGGGGGTCAAATCAACAGCAGAGCACTAATTAAAGCTGGTAGGAGGAGTTTTATTTCTGCTCTAGCAGGATGTATAACCCCTGTCCTCTGACCAAACAGTGCTGATTGGCCTTGTGCTGATCACATGAACTCTCCCAAGAAAAACAAAACCTCTCTAGCAGTACACACCAAACTGAGCATGTGCAGAGTGTCTCCACATGATATGTCTTATCTGAAGGGGACCCTGGAAGAAGGGGAGGATCAGAGAAGACAGGATCAAACAGCATTTCTACACAATGCAGAGGATTAACCCTTTAGGTTCCACAGTGAGTATAACAAGCATGCTTTACTGCATCTACAGACTGATTTTACTGTTGTGGGTTTAGTAACAGTTTAAAGTAACTTTGTCTCTAAAAACAAACAAACAAAAACTTCCTGAAAAAAAGAGAGATAATACCTACCAGTCCCACCATTGATGACTACGATCTTGCTGTCTTGCAGAGTGACACCAGCTGGAGAATCTTCAGTCTCCAACACATCCAGAAGTGTTGCCCGCATTCTCCACTGCAAGCTGTGGTTGCACCCGCCGGCTGCTTCCTTACTAGGGCTCTGCACAGGACACAGTGGTGACATAGTGATTGGTGAGTGGAACAACAGAGCTCAGCAGGGGATGCAGGCATCAAACACAACTGAACGTGTTGGATGCTAAAGATCGGTCAGCCTGCAATAGAGTGTTACTGGAAGCAGCGATGACAGGTATCATTAATCTTTTTTTTAATGGTGGAATTTTTATCTATTAATTTTTCAGCAACAAAGTTAGAGTCTATATCATTCAAGGCAAAGCAATAGATTTTCTGCACAGCATGCATCCTACGGAGCCTGTGTTTACCTTCCATACCTTCACCCCATCTTCATCTGGTGAACATTGTCCTTGTGTCTTTGGGTACCTAAACTTTGTGACAAGCCTTTCCCAGAAATGCTTCCCGTTCAATTCTGTCTTTTCTTGATGTAATTGCAGGCTACAATCAACATCGTATTTGACAGAGTTGGAAAGACTGACCCTGTGACCAGAGGGATCGAGATCACTGTGAACTACCTGGGCATACAATTTGATGTAAGATGTCTTTTGGTCTTTAAGGGTGGCCAGACCTGTATGTGCAATCCCTCTGCCCTTAGGTAGCGGGGTTGGCTGGTGGTTTCATAAGCTGGCACAACGTTCCCAACAGAACATACCTGTTCATAAGAATGGGGAGTGGAGGAAAAAAAGGAAATGAGGTAGGGTTGGCAAAGGCTGCTGGCACTGGCTATATCAGGTCAGTAGTGACAGGAGTGGGTCTTCTAGCCTTCCCGAGTGACCAATGCCACAGAATGCAGGCTGTGGTCTACAGAAAGGAGATCATCATCCATCCTAGCCAATTGTTATAACCTCTCTAGCGGTCTGATTAGGTCCATATTTCTGTGCTCAAAGCGGTACATTTTTTTGCATGGAAATACAGTAATACCTCGGTTTAAGAACGCCTCAGTTAAAGTAATTTTCGGTTTACAAATGAAAATCCACTGAAAATAATGCCTCGATTTACAAATATTGTATGAATTTTTTTCGCAATACGAAGTGTATGTCAGTGCTGATTTTGAAATGCAATTGCTGGCTCTTTTTTTTCTCTTCACTATAGCTCACAGAATTAGCTGTCACTTTCCCCAAAGTTAACAAAAATGTTGTTTCTTTTTAAGAACCTAAAAAGAAACATTGTTTGCCCCCCCCCTTCCTTTCCAGACCTGCCAGGCTGCATGCTCTGAAAAGGGTCTGGTATGGATTTTGGGGAGGACCCCCACGTCATTTTGTTTTAAATTTTGGCGTGAGAGTTCCCCTCAAAATCCATACCAGACACGAAGGGCTTGGTATGGATGGGAAGGGGGACCCCACGCAGTTTTTTAAATTATTTTTTTAATTGCCGGCAATTCTTTTACATTCAGCTGTCAGTGGGGAACCCCGCTGACAGCTGAAATATTAACACATGGTTGTCTCTACTAAAATGCCGCATGACTTGATAAAATAACTCATGCGGTATTTATTAGTGTTTACTTTTTTCTGATCTCCGGAACAGATTAATTGGTTTTCAATGCATTCCTATGGGAAATGGTGTTTCGGTTTAAGAATTTTTCGCTATAAGAAAAGTCCTGCAGAACGAATTAAATTCTTAAACCGAGGTATTACTGTATGTATTTTTTTTTTATTGTAGGCTGTAATTTTTAGGAATAACTCACTGAAATCTGTCCGAACAAGAGTCTAGTAAACATCCCGGGTAGGATAAAATTTGAAACACGAAATCATAAATTATAATATAATAAATAATCATAAAAAAATTATATAATAATAAATTTAATTCAATAATATAATCAAACCAAAAACACTGAAATTTGAAATATAGCGCCAAGTTCGCACATCACTGAGCAAAGTCGCAACATCGTTTTCAGTGTCTGATGATGAATTTCCCCCACGAATCATTATCACTCAATTCTGCAAGTGGTTCTGATTTACTATCGCTGTTCTCTAGCCGGTCTAAAACCATTTTGACCTAAAGGGACGCTTTTTGAACGCCGTGGACGTTTCTCAGTTTCCAGGCAGAAAGAACAGTAAAAATGCAGGCAGGGCGCAGGACAAAGCACTCGGGAAATGTATGTGAAATGGTTTGATACAGGAATGTTATACTATGTGATTTTATTGAATTTAGTGTTAGTATCCCCCCCCCCCCCCCCTCCTTTTGCTGTATCTTATCTGTAGCCTTTTTTTTTTTTCATCCCTTTTAACATTCTGCTTAAACTTTGTGATTTGTATAGTACTGCCTGGACCTGAAGAAGGGGACATACCCCGAAAGCTTGTATTGTATGTTAGTGCAAATAAAAAAAGTATCACGGACAGTACTCAATTGTTTCTAGTGAATTTAGTGAATGTCACTTTTACAATTTTCAAAATTTCCGCCAGTTCAGTCCCCCGTACGTCCCGACGTAGCAGGGAATGGAACCCAGAAGACAGATGCCGGCATCGGCCGGAGGACATTACAGGGGACACTGCAGGAGGGACATCGTGGGAGCACAGGACAAGGTAAGTGCAGAAGAGATCCCGGAGCAACGCTGCAGGGTATTCCCGAGTGTAGCTCGGGGTTACCGCTTGTGGTGCTGAAACTTTACCCCGAGCTACACTCGGGAATACCTCCAGGGGGGTTAAATATGTTTTTCACCCCCCACTTTCCCCCCTGTCCAAACGTAAAACAGAATTTGACAGGGAGATTGCATGGGCCCCCTGGAGCATGGGGCGGGGTTGCCATTGCGACCCCTGATGCTACACCAATCGTTGGGGGAGTGGTAAAAATCACCCACCCCCCAAACTGCAAATGTAAACATGCCCCTTCCTGTCCTGAGGCACTTCTGCTGTACATGAATGAAGTATGTATTTTCTCTCTGTTTTTTGTTCATGCCCAGGTGAAGTTCTGGTCCCAGCACATCTCCTTCATTCTGGTGGGAATCATCATTGTCACCTCAATCCGAGGACTGCTGATCACACTCACCAAGGTACATGACTCCCATAATGCATCTGAGAATATTGGGGGGAGTTGGTGAAATTTTCCATAGCCATTTATTTATTATTTCAGGTACTTGTGTAGCGCTGTCAATTTGTGCAGTATTTTACATATATATTGTACATTCACATCAGTCCCTAACCCTCAAGGGGTGTACAATCTAAGGTCCCTAACTCACATTCATACATACACATACTAGGAACAATTTAGACAGGAGCCAATTAACCTACCAGCAGGTCTTTGGAACGTGGAAGGAAATCGGAGTACCCAGAGGAAACCCACGCAGGCACAGGGAGAACATGCAAACTCCAGGCAGGTGGTGCCGTGGTTGGGATTCAAACCAACAACCCGAGTACTGCCAGGCGGAAGTGCTAACTATTTAGCCACTGTGCTGCCCATGTAAAGACAGGTAAATCTGTCGATCAACCCAAATTTTGGAGGTGATGTTGCTGTGTTGATTATACTTTATGTTATCAATACTTTAAAATAAACACGTTACTTTACCCATTCAGAGCAGAGTAACCGTGATAACTCGCAGACCATTCCACATTTTCACAGCTCTTAGGCTTGATTATTCTTTGAAAAGTGATCTCTGGTGGCTCACATTTCATAGTGCAGCTAACCAGCCCCCCAAAAACAGCCTGAGAAGAATGAAAGTGGAAATGGAGCTAGCATGAGTCCAGTAGGTTTTATTGTGGAAGACTACAAAAAATTCAACGCGTTTTGGGGGCTCAAAGCTCCACCTTCATCAGGGCTTAAAATGCCAGCAGTGAATAAAGAATATGTTACCCTATCATTTCATATTCCTGATATGTGCCTGCTGTACCATATACTTGTATGAAAAAGTATCCTGTTCTCTTTGCATCGCTTCCTTTATGTGAAATCCCTGGTGTTCCTGCCAGTCTCTCTGCTTTGCCCATTAAAACTGACCACACTAGGCATGAGAGCACAGCGTGTTCAGTTCTCTAGCTGTGTCTGCTTTCCTCCAGCGATTAGATCTGTGCTGACACACCCACTCCTCTCACAGTATTTCACTGGGAAGAACAATATGCTGCTGTTTCTCCTCCCCCAGCTCTCTAAACCCCATAACCAGCTGTGAGCAGAGGTCATGTGATTTCTTATAATAAAGGGAAAACAAGGTATTTATAATGTTTTTTTTATATCCAAATACAAATGTTTTGTCTTTCATTTCTATTTGCCCTCCAGAGGATTTCCCCCCCTTCCTGACCAGGCCATTTTTTTGTATTACGGCCCTGCATTACTTTTAACTGACAATTGCGCGGTCATGCAACACTGCACCCAAATTAAATTTATGTCCTTTTTTTCCCACAAATTGAGCTTTCTTTCGGTGGTATTTGATCGCCTGTGTATTTTATTGCGCTATAGAAAAAGAAGATCGACAATTTTGAGAAAAAAAACAGTATTTTTGCTATTAAACATGTCCAGTAAAAAAAATCAAAAAAATCAAATTGTGTCATAAATTTAGGCCAAAAATGTATTCTGCTCCGTGTCTTTGCTAAAAAAAATCCCAATACATGTAAATTAATTAGTTTACATGAAAGTTATAGCGTTTACAAATGGCGGTATAGATACTGGGATTTTTATTTTTACTAGTAATGATCTGCAACTTATAGCGGGACTGCGGCGGGCATTCTGACACTGGGGGGGAACTGACTAACTGCCACTGGCATCCCCAGTGACACCAATACAGTGATCAGTGCTAATAATAAGCTCTGACACTGTACTAATGGCACTGGGCAGGAAGGGGTTAACATCTGGGGCGATCAATGGGTTAACTGTGTGCTGTTTTAGAATGTGTGTTGTATGTATGTTTCACAGTAAGCACACTGCTTTGTATGGCTGTGCTATGCAGAGCCATACAAAGCAGTGTGCAGGAGCTGATAGGGGAGAGATCTGTATTGTTTACATACAGGTCTCTCCCCCATTGGGAATCCTCGAAGATCGCCAGGTTCTGGCGGGGGGTCACCGGCCGGGATCCAGTGATTGACAGCCGAGGCCACGAATGGCGGTGCGGGTATGGCGCGTGCTCGATCTGCACACACCCCCTACCCGGAGCTGCAAAATCACGTTTATATACATGCTATGCAGAGCCATGCAAAGCAGCTTGCAAGAGCAGACTGGGGAGAGAACTGTAATGTTTACAAACATTTCTCCCCCGTGTCGGAGATGCTTGGCAATCCCCGGGTGCCAGCGAGTTATCACGGCCGGGACCTGGTGATTGACAGCCGAGGGCAGGAATGGCTGCGCAGGTAGGGCTCCCGCCTCCTACCTGGAGCTGTATATATACGTGATTTTGCACACCCATGCTGTCCTGTAGCAATACTTCTGCTATAGGGTGGATGGGAAGCAGTTAAACTGAATGGATTGATTTACAAGGTGAGGGTTTATACTGTATACTTTCAGGATTACACGGGACACAAATGTCTTTGTTAGTAATATCATATGTATTTCAGCGGGCAGCTCACTGGTGACCCGACACCGCAAAGATAAACATATTTTTACTCACAAAGAAATTTTTGTCCAGTTTTACCTAAATCTACTTGCCGACCAATCACTTACCTGGTACATCACTGGACGTCAAGTACCGGGATGATGCTTGCAGTTTCTCTTGTAATAGCAGTCCTAGCAGCTAACTAGCCACTAGCCATTACTATTACAAGCTGCAACAGGGGACTCCATCCCCCTTCCGCTGCCTTTCCCGGCTTTAACGGGATCTCCCATCTCACCGACTGATCATAGAGCCCAACAAAGGCTTTGTTCAGGTCTATGACATAGTAACCCGGAGGAAGCGATTACATGACATCACTTTTGGTTTACTCGGCTGCAAAAAGCACCATTTTAAAAAAGGAAAGCATTTAATTACATGCTTTTAAGGGCAGAGGAGGGATTTGGGGGGTCTCATAGACCCCAGATTCCTCCATAAAGAGCACCTGTCACAGGCCTATTGCTGCCAAAGGGGATGTGTACATTCCTTGTGACAGCAATAAAAGTGATACAAAAAAATTTGAAAGCAACAGTGTAAAAAAAAAAAAATATGAAAGTGTCCCTTTTTCCATGCGCAAAGGAGAACGCACGCTTCAGTCTCGCACGCACTCAAACAGCGATTGTCCCACACATGTGCGGTAGCGCCGCGAATATCAGATCATGGGCAGTGATTCTAGCACCAGACCTCCTCTGTAAATCTAAAGTGGTAACCTATAAAGGCTTTAAAAATGTCGTCTATGGATAGTAAAATGAATGTCGTTTGTTGCTGTTGCACAGGCGTGCGCAGTTTTATTTATTTATTTCAGGTGCTTATATAGCGCCATCAATTTACGAAGCACTTTACACACACACACACACATATATATATATATTACATTCACATCATTCCTAACCCTCAAGGGGCGTACAATCTAAGGTCCCTAACTCACATTCATACATACACATACTAGGGCCAATTTACGCAGCACTTTACATATATATTGTACATTCACATCAGTCCCTAACCCTCAAGGGGCGTACAATCTAAGGTCCCTAACTTACATTCATACATACACATACTAGGGACAATTTAGACAGGAGCCAATTCACCTACCAGCATGTCTTTGGAGGAAACTGGAGTACCTGGAGGAAACCCACGCAGGCACAGGGAGAACATGCAAACTCCGGGCAGTGGTCACATGGTTGGGATCCGAACCAGCAACCCTAGTACTGCCTGGCGGAAGTGCAACCATTTAGCCACTGTGCTGCCCAAACGTGTTTCTCTATTTACTTGGCGTAACATCATCTTTTATATTTTACAAAAATATTGGGTTAAGCATTGTGTTTTTTTGCATTTCAATTTAAAAAAGTTTATTTTTTCCCCAAAAATTGCATTTGAAAAAATGCTGCGCAAATACCATGTGACATGAAAAAAATTGCAAAAGCCACCAATTTATTCTGCTTAAAAAATAAATATATCATCTTTGAAATCTTGTTAGAAATTTTCTAGCAGAAAATACTAATTGTTACATATAAACAAAGTGAGAAAAGGCTTGATCTTCAAGTGGATATTCACTGCTGGCATTTTAAGCCCTGGTGAAGGGAGATTTGAGCCCCCAAAACGCGTTGGAATTTTTTCTGTTGTCTTCCACAATACAAGCCTTCTGGACTCCTAGTCCTGTGGTGCCTTCATCCTTTCTACTCCTTCAACTTGTCTCAGTGATGTCGCTGCTTCCTGAGGAGTTGATGTTGCATATGTTTACTGTAGGTAAGTGTCAGGTACACAACATACTTTATGGGGAACTGTAAACCTCATTATCTTTATCGCTGTCAGCATTGGAAAAGACCTGCGAAGGCCACCGATCTGAAAGACAGCGTTATCATTTATGGCTTGCGATAGACCGTCAGCTGGAGCTGACGTTTGTCACAGCTGCGCAGGCAGATACTCGGACTGATTGTGTATTATTCAGGCCATTCTTGGGTGGAATTTTGAATGAATTTTCTTTAGAAAATCGGAAATTTCATGCGTTTTGTAATCCGATGGCGCAACTATTGATTTTGAAATTTGATCAACCAAGCCTTCAATTTTACTTTTCTATTTGCTACAGAAAAGAATTTTCATGGCCGGGAGTCTTCTTTTCTTTCCAGGTCACAGGTCATGCTCATTTCGTTTTCGATTATATTTGTCGCATGATTCTGCCATCGTTAGTAGAAATTTGTTCGTCTTTCAAAAAATTTCCAACATGCCTGATCACTCAAATTCGATGGCCGCACAAAAATCAACTGATGCTGCGGCTTACTAATGGTGTGGAATTTGAAAGAAAATTTGATTTTCGAAGGAAAATTAATTTGGAATTCGACCCATGAATGGCCAGCATTAGACATTAGAGATCATATTGTGTAAACCCAGCTGGATTATATTTGTCGCATGATTCTCCCATTATTGAGTTGAAATTCGTTCATCTTGGGCGGCACAGTGGCTTAGTGGTTAGCACTTCCACCTGGCAGTACTAGGGTTGTTGGTTTGAATCCCAACCACGGCTCAAGCTGCCTGGA